GTTATTAGTTAATAGCTCAGAGAGCTCTCTTTAGCTTGTTGCACTTGTCTTGTTCAACATTTTTTTTCAATGGCATAAATAAAGGGAGATAAGGGGGAATATTTTGTAGTAATAAAAAATTCCATCCATAGAGAAGATTCAACAGATATAAACCTTTATGCACCAAACAACATAGCAGCAAGATACATAATGCAGGAACTTTCCAAAAACCAAAGAAAATTTGATTAAAAACAATACTTTAGAAGATTTTTAGAAGACTTTAATAAACTTATCTTAGATTTGACATATTAGGCAAAAAGTATATTAAGTATATAAAGTATTTGAAACCATCAACCAGCAAGCTTAATTTAAGAGACAAATGTAGAGCTGTGTGCACTGCAATAGAATACACATTCTTCTCATAGAAGTTATGCAAAAGTTAATAATGTTTTTGGTTACAGTGGAAAGGCTAATTGAGTGCAAAAAGTAAATACCTTACCAGTATATTCTCTTCATATAATAAACTAAAAACTAATTCTTTGCATATTTTTAAAAACACTCTTCTAATAATTCTCAGATAAATTAAATCATCAGAACCAACATTATAGATTATTTACCTTACATTGTGATTGAAAATGGGAAATATCAACAAAGCTTGGAAAGTCACTGAGTACACTGAACAACTAATTTGGATCCATTAAGATAGTGACAGGCTGGAAAGACAGACTGAATCTAACAAACATGAAATCTAACAGAATTACATTTGAGATCTCGCCATAATCCAAAAGGTAAATGGCAGAAGCACAAGATAGGAGAGCTATGATTCAGTACCACCATCTTTAAAACAAAAACAATCTCATAGCCATAAAGTTTAGAGATTTTAGTTGACAAATGGATTCAGCATTCATCAAGGATGATGTGGCTGCCAAGAGAAGTTAATGTGAACTTAGGCTGCGTGAACAGATATGCAGCATCTAGAACAAGAGAGGCAGCAGTCCAGCTCTAATCTGCACCGATCAGACTTCGCACAGTGGGCATTCAGTTTTGGGCTCCATGGCTTGAGAAGGCTAAATTAGAGCCCATTCCGAGAAGAGGAAAGGAAATGGTGAAAGGACTTATGAAAAAAAAATCCACGGGAGACGTGGGTGGAGGAAGTGGAGAGGCATGGCCTGGACCCAAGACTGCTCCTTGAAGTCCAATGCTGTTTTTAAATATTTGAAGGGTTTTCATGCAGAGGAGGGATAAGGTCATAAAAAGACATATTTCTGTGAGCCACAATATTCCAAAGATGAAAGAACTGCTTAGAGATCCAGCAAGTTCCCCGTCATTCACTGTGGGTGTTCTGACCTAGTTTGGGTAAATACTTGGTGGGGATGTTGTGGCAAAGATTTTAACGCTGGAAAAATAGGCGGTTGGATCAGACGAACATTCCATCCCTGAAATTCTTCCATTTCCCTGGAATCTGGTATTCCCCTGATATGATCCACGGGCTTCTGAGTTTGGTATCCAAAGTCTTAAATTGATTTCTTACGGATTTTCATTATTAACATTTTAAGCAGAGGCCCTGTGGGTGACATAAATGTCTGAGTGTTCGTAGCCTAGTTGTGACAGCATAAACCCAAATGAAACAGTTGTTCAGGACTTTAAAAGTAAGTGTTCAAATAAAGACATATGGTGTCCTAAGCGTTCAGAGAAGGGGGTCAGTGAGGGTTGGAGAAGATGGGGAAATTCTCACAGAGAAGACTTCAGAGTCTATGTCTGTGTGCATCAGGTGATAGCAGTCCTTTTAGAAATTGTGGCAACAAAGATGTATATAATAAGCAAACATAATTGGTTGCCTCTTTCCTTTGATGGCAGAATATGGTGTGCCCGGCTGGAACGCCACCACACCATATGCGCAGATCTTTTGAGAGTTCTCTCGCCATCGTTGCTCTCACAGCCACTGCGGAGCTCCCTGCAGACACGGGCTTTTGGCTCTGCAGCTCCTGTTCACACAGCCTGCGTCCCTAATGGATTGGTCTGAGTTTTTTTGACTAAGCTTCTGTTCTTCATCTTCCTGATTGCCTCTGACCCTTTCCAAACCCTGCAACCCTTTTATCCTCAACACCGAGCCCCTCCTTCTCTTGAGGAATGTGGCCCTTGCCCTCTGCGGCCCATGATAAGAATTATTATAAAAAATAATCCCTTACATTTATTTAGGGCTTTGCGGTTCCAGATGCTTTTCATACGCTCTCACTTGTTTGTTCATCATGACAGTGCTGGGAGGAACATAGGGCAGGGACCACCCTGGGGTGTCAGGAGGTCACAGCACTTACCCAAGGTCATATAGAGGAAACAAGCTGGTTCTAGGATGAGAACCCTGGTCTTCTGATCCCTGAGCTGAGTTAATGTTGGGAATGGTGTGAACAGCATCTTACTGCTCCCTGTTTTGGGGACTCGTGTGTTCTGACCTAGGCTGGTCATGAGTCAGTCAGTCCCTCTGGGCTCATCCTCTCAAATCATTCACCTGGGCAGTCTCCCAGGAGCCCAGCTTTCTTCAAAAGCACTTCCAAAGGCTTGGTTCCGTGAGTGAGTCTGGTTGGGCCCAGGATCACAGATGCCCGTGTGGAGTCCCAGGGCTTCTTTGCGGTGGACCCAGCCTGTGTGAGTGAGGCCTGGGAGTGGGCACTATTCAGAAGCCATATCTGCCTTCCCTCTATTTGTTTTTTTTTTTTAGCAATTTGCAAAATTACTTACTTTGATTAGCACACTCACATGTGAGTATGAAAAATATAGTTTATTAATTCAATCAAATAAAACGTAGAGCAAAGTTAACATATGTAATGATAGTATAGAATTAATGCCCTGCTTGGTTATTAGGCGTAAATGGTAAACAGCTCATATGAATGACTGTAATTAATATTGCGTTAGAGCCAAATCCATTTTTAAGTTTCTCTCATCTTACTTTATTAGTTCTTCAGTATTTATATAACTGGAATCACTGTCCAAAGTTTTCCTTGATACCATTTGCCCTCTAGTATCTGAATTTCTTCAAGCACAGGAAGATAATTCCAGGGACTAAGAGAAAAACATCTTGCTTTCTGAAATTTCCTTGAAACTCTGTTTATATCTGCCCCTGAGGTGTCCCTATTCAATAGCCGGTGCCTTTGCTCCTTGTTTCTCTCCAAGATTTTCCTATAATTATTATGGGTTAGCTCAGTACAACAGTAACAATCCAAAACATCTGTCATTTACCAAGAAGAGATTTCTTACTCTTAGCCAAAAGGGCATCTGTCACACCTGGGAAGCCAAACACATTGATAAACACAGGCCTCCAGCTCATGGAAGTCTTGGAGAGCTGTCACCTTTTGCTGAGCACACTCTGGGAACACCGCTGTACTTGCTCAAAGTCAGGTTTCTGGTCTTGGGGAGTATGACCCAGAAAGGGAACTCATAGGCTGGTGCTGTGACAGGAGTGACCTTGGCCCTGGAGATCCACACTAGTTCCTTTGTCTGGGTCAGCTTTGTGGTTTTTGTAGAACTAGAAGGGCGCCAGTCAAAATGGCTCCTTAGTCCTTGCTCAGTCTGTGCATGTGGTGTAAATGTTTCCCCAACAGGGAGCAAAGGAGGAGGGGCAGCAAGGGGCCGGGGTGCAGCCCCAGGCAGCAGGGAAGGCCTCGCACTGGATCGGAGTTCCAAGTGGACATAGGAACATGGGCAGGTAGGGGTTAAAATGACAGAAGGCTCAGGAGAATAAGTAGATTCCCATCCTTGATGTTTTGTTCAGAAATCTCTCCAGTACCTCTTAGAACTGAAAACCAGGGCTATTTCCTCAATTATTAAAGTCCTGCTTCAATAAAGGGCAGAGGGGGCTTGCCGCTGTTTGGGTTTAGAATGACAAGTGCCAAAATTTGCAGTACGTGTGTGTGTTACATTTTCAAAACAGAGCTCGAGAGCCATGACGTCAGCCCGTTCACTGGACCCTGGAGCTCCCTTAACAGAGAGGGAGGGCAGGGAGTGAGGGGCTGAGAGGGTCTTTCAGCGCAGGTCAGAGGGGAGGTATGAGAATGCAATCCCCTGGGAATGTGAACGCGTTGGTGTGATAATTCCCAGTCTCAGCGCAAATGCTAGTACCCGACCCTTCCCGTTTGAACTGGGGGGAGTATTCAAAGGAGGATCTATTACTGGGAGAGAAGGAGGAACAACCCCAGGGATGACCTGCAAACCTTGTCCCCATAGCCACCTTTGTCTTCATCTCTGTGTAGGAGCAGAGTGCGCCGGTACTTACTTCCTGTCCTGTGGGGCTCTTCAGAGAGGATGCTGAGGGAGGGGATGAGGACATCTCGTTATCACCGCCAGCCTTTATCCAGCCTCACCCTTCTCATACTGTCTGCCTGTGGCCCTGTGCCTGAGACGGCACTAACACTGGACAGTGTGGCCCCTTTCCTTTGTAGGGGGTGGTGGTGGCGGTGGTCGTCATCATGGAATCTTTTAAGATCTTCTAGATCTTATGAGAAATGTGGATCCCACAAACCTAAGCTCACAATGTCAGGAGAGGCCTCTGATAGTGCAGTTCAGACAGTGCTGATGAGACCAGGTAGAGGGAAAGCGTGCAAAGTGGGAACGAGATAAGCCAAGAAACTAAACAGGAAAGCAGCGCACACACGCAGCTTTATGCTGGCCACAAGCATGGGGACCAGCAGGCAGGAGGGAGCGTGAGTCTAGCAGAGGCCAGGGGCTTGGTGTTGCAATAAAGCAGAGAAAAGGAAAACAGAGCCAGGGAAGCTTCACCAAGGAACGTGTGGATCGTCTGGTAGAGATGGCTGGGAGGGTGGAGGAGAGGCCACCTGGAAAGGACCAGCAGCCAGAATAGGTCTTGTTGGGTCAGCTCATCCTCAGGAACTGATCCTGCAGGTTTGACCGACCTGAGCCACGCTGTCACCCCCCCAACCCACGGCTCCAGATGGGGTTCTGATGCCCAAGCCCAGGATAAAGGAATCTAGCGTAGACCTCATCAGACTCTCCTTTTGCTACTTCTGCAGGAAAATTGCTGCTTATGATGAAGAAATCCAGCATCTCTACGAGGAGATGGAACAACAAATCAAGAGTGAGAAGGAGCAGTTTCTCCTGAAAGTAAGGGTCTGGCCCGGGGCTGGCTGTGAGGGGCAGGTTGAAGTCCCTCCTCCTCTGACTGCCTCCCTCAATTTGGGACTGCAGCGCCCCCGCCCACGGCACTACTGATTCCTTCTGTCTCTGCTGTACTTATTTTTTTCAAGGCATTTGTCGCCTTCAAACATGGCCTATAATCCACTTGTGTATTTTGTTGATTGTGGCCTGTCTCCTCCTGCTAATGTGTAAGCTCCACGACCGCAGGGATTTTTATCTTCCACTTACGAAGGTGTCCTCTGCACTTCGACCAGGCCTGGAACATAGTGGGCACTCAACAAAGGCTTGTTGAATGAATCAATGAATGAACAGATGAACAAAGGAATGAATGAAAGGAAGAAGGTGCCTGCTTACCGGTTAGAGCAGCCTGAAGACTGGGTCTGACGTTGGCTGGCCCCTAGAGCATATGGCAGGCCCACCCAGATGCCCCAGCCCCTTCCCCTCCATGCCCAGCAGCTCCCCAGGAGAACCAGCCTTAGAGTCTGTGCTTTCCCACCTGTCCCCTTAGACACCCAAGAAAAATCCAATCCCGCCCTTCTCAGAAACCACGGGAGAAAATTTTAAACTCATATCCCTGTTCCTAGGCTGGCACTTACCCAGCCTCCTCCGAGCCCAGCTGTTTGGCTTGGGAAGTCAGAACTGGTGACGTGCTCTCCTTTACCAAGCTAAGCAGGTCCTTGGGGAGAAGACCCATAAAACAAAGCTACAAGAGGCTCTCTATTATCCATTTTTGGATTATCCACTCGATGGATTCTCAGCAGAAAAGTCTTTGATCTTGAATGGTGGCTCCCTGTCTTAGTCACTTTGGGCTGCTATAACAAAAATGCCGTCAACTGAATGGCTCATAAACAAGAAATGTTTGTTTCTCCTGCTTCTGGAGGCTGGTGGTCTGAGACCCCGGTGCCAGCATGGTCGGGTCGTGGTGAGAGCCCTCTTCCGGGTGCAGGCTGCCGCTTCTCTTGGTGTCCTCACATGGTGGGACGGGGCAAGCCAGCTCTCTGGGGTCTCTTTTATAAGAGCACTGATCACCTCCCAAACTCCCCACCTCCTAACCCTGTCACCTTTGCACTGGGATTTCAACATATGGAGTTTGGGGGACACAACGTAGAGACCACATAGACGGGGTGCCCTGCCGCTCAGCACTGGGCCTGGGCTGCGGTCACCCCTGCTCTCCTAAGGCAGGCTGGTTTGAACCAAGTTTTAATTTTCTGCTGCTTCAGATTATCCACACCACAGCTTCATTTATTATGACAGATGTCATTCAAACTGAGAGGGGGCTGATGCTTTCCAGAAGAAGCCGGTCCTGTTCTCCAGTGAGAGCCCTCTGGAGGCCCGTCAGTCTTCCCACACCCCCCCTGTTCTTTTAGAGCATTGGCATCCCGGCTGTCCTCGACCTTCAGCGTAGTTGAATGAGGATATGGCAGACAGAACTCACACGCTCCTCACCAAGCAGACCCTAAAGAAATCTCCTGAGAACAGAGAGCTTTTTCCCTGCAGGGGAAAGGAGAGCCACTGCCTTTACCCCAGATGACCTACTGCACAAAGGGGCCAAGCTCTGGGGCATTTGGCCCCGTCTGCCTGGGGCCGTGACTACAGGTCAAAGGTCCTTGCTACAGAAAGAGGCATGCTTCCAGAAGCAGGGCCAAGGCTGGGATGTGGGAGTGGAAGAGGTCGGAGGAGAAAATTCAAGGACAAGTTAGTATCACGTAAGTGGCCTGAGCACGCTGCTGCAGCCCTGTGCAGCCCCCTCTGCTCTCTCCTCTCCCTTCTCAAGACCGAACGCCTTTCACGCTCCGTGCTCGATTTGTGCTTTTTGCGTAAACATGGACACTGTTAAAACCTGTTTGCGCTGTTAAGCCTTTGGATACACAGGCTTTTGCCTGGCGACAGTATGAGGACAGTGGTGTCACAGTTTATGACAGCGTGGCAAAGGCTGGACCTCTGGCCGGGGTTTGGATCCTGGCTCTACATTTAGCAATTTGTTGACCGTGAGGGAAAGTCTTCATCACTTGCACGCTCCAGCTCCAGATCACAGACCCCCTCGGTGCTCTGTGCTGGCAGGGGCCAGGAGACAGTCACAGACTCATGCAGGGGAATTCTGGAGCTGCTTGCTTCCCCGGCACTGTGCACGGGGCACCTACTCTGTGAGCGGCCACCAAGCTGAATGAAGCGGGTTCCCTGGTAACGATGTTGGGAGCAGGAACTGCCTCTGCTGTTGCATGTAGTTGACGTGAGGACAGTCACAGGCTCTCCCTGAGCTCCTTCACCCACCTGAAAACAGGCAGAGGAACGGAGTAGAGTCTACAGATGATGAGGCCAGGAAATATCCCCAGCCTTTGAATGGAGTGTCCAAAGGTCTCTGGCCTGAGACTGGCCCTGGTACCCCACTCTGCAGCTGCTGCCATCATGCCCACCCCACCAGCCAAGACAGAGCTGCCTCTAGTGCAGCCTCTCACGGCTCCTAGGGAAAAGGGGCCCCTAGGGGGCTCCTGTAATGAGTTATATGATGGTTATAATGATGTCTTCTCTTCCTGCGTGTTTGGCACCTCTGTTCTGCCTTCAGTCCAATGGAGAGCTGCAGGTGGCATGGGTATTTTTGTTTCTCTTCTGTGAACAAAGATGTAATGATCTAGAAGAATGAAGCAAGTCAGGTGGGCAAGGCCAGGGCTGGAACCCAAGTCTCTTGATGCCCAGCTCAGGGCCCTTACAGCAGATCGGGCTCTGTTGGGAATATCAGGCACGCTGACAACCCACACACTTTCTTTATCCCACAACCAGGTCCCTTCACACCTGCATCCTCAGGGCCTCTGCATCCCCGAGTGGGGAAGCCCAGTTCCGGGGCAGGAGGGGAGGGGCTGTTGAGCACAGGGGCAGAGACATCTTGAGGAGCAGAGCCTGGGACACCTCAGTCACTGTGGGAAACAGTGAGGACCTAGACCCTCAAGAGGAAGAAGTGACGCCCCTGTGTTTCCAGAGCGAGGGCAGTTTAGGAGACTGAATGTCAGCACCCAACATGGAACAGAATATCCAAGTTATATCCAGAATATTCCACCCCTTAATTTACAGATGAAGAGACTGAGGCATGAGATTTGAACTCAGGCCCCTGTCTATTCTCCCTGTTCAGTATGCCCCCACTAGCTGACACTGCTGCTTTTTCGAGGGGCCGTGCACGGTCATCAGTCATGGTCACATTTGGTGGTAAGTCCAAAAGGACAGGCCCTGCTGTTGAGCAGGTTCAAGGGGGGAAAAAAGTCTCCATCCTGGGTGCGTTTGGGCCTCACGTGTCCCCCTTTCTGGCCTGGCAGGACACAGAGCGGTTTCAGGCCCGCAGTCGGGAGCTGGAACAGAAGCTGGTATCTAAGGAGCAGGAGCTGGAACAGCTCATCCAGAAGCAGAGACGGGTATGTTTGTCGGTGAACTCGGACAGCCTGACTCTTCACTCCATCCACCGCTCTGGGTCTTGCCTGCTTTCCCTGCCCTCCACTTAAGGACCCTTTTTTGTCGTCCTTAAATCTGAAAACCATTGAGCTGTACAAAAGATAGCATTTGAAATCACAGATGATCCCAAGATAAAGGCTTTACTTTCCCGACGCCGGGTGTTTAACTTGGAAAAGTTGCCAAGGCTTCTCCCTTGAGATATCTGCAAACATTGTGGTATAATTCTGCCCAGGAGCCACCAAATGCCAAAACATTAATTTGTTTCCTGCATCCGGTTAAGAGAAGAGGAGGATGCTGAGGACCAGGGACATAGTCTCTGATACTTTGGGGGAGGCTGCAGACAGTGATGTCGTCCTGCCAGGATGGCCGTGGATGCCTCCAGTTGGAAGAAGAGGCTCCTCAAGGTCACTTTGTCCATCCCCTGTCTTCCCATGTGGCCCAAACAAGGTTGGTCAGCCTGCTTTGTGACTGTTCTCGTCAGCCTGCAGAATGGATGCAGACAGTAGATGCTCCTCTAATGCACCTGAGCCCCCAGGAGGCAGGCTGAGTGGTGCACTGTGCAGGGCAGTGTCCATCCGCTATGGCTGGGACAGCTGGCTAATGACCCCAGGAGGGTGATTACCTAGGCAAACCTTGCGCACACAACCTCCTCTCCAAAGGGCTCGTGGGAGAAAGAGGCCAGGGCACCACGTGGCCTCTTGTTTTGTTTTGTCTGGTGCTGGAAGGGATCCAGCCCTGGACAGACCCAGACACATTGCTTCCGTTTGAACAGAGAGGGCTGTTTTTAGCAACACATTTATCTATGCTTGAAGACACCCATGCTAAGGCTAGAGACTGTGCCACTCCTGCTAGTTCCTAGCCTCTGGGTTTTGGTTTCTTTCCTTCTGCAGCAAGATGCTTTCAACTCCAGCGACTGCCAGCTGCCTTCCCAGTCCCCCTTCCACAGTCGAACCTTGCTTCTCCTGCTCCTTCTGCTCCTCATTGTTGTGCATTAAGTTCTTACCAATTAGGTGTAGCCCTCAAATGAATGGCTCCCACTCGATTTAATTACTGCATGCTTGCCTGATTACTCAGGAGCCTCTTAAGAATCACACAAGATTTCTTGTTGTTGCTTCCTCCTCCCCTTACTGACCACATTCATTAAACTCAATTTATTATGATATATTTGCCTTGGTTTGATTCTTCCTCTGGCGAGAGACTTAGAAGCTCTGCAAAGCATAATCATCAGCAGAGAAAAGCGAAAGTTATAAAAATGCAGGGTTTTCAGTTGCTTGAGGGACATGAGAAAAGGTATGTTTGGTTTGACCTGTTTTAGCTATTTCCTAAGAATTTCCAGGGTTTCTGGCTACCATACAAAGCTTCCCTAGATTAAAGGAATTGAGTTATTCAACTGAGAGAAGAAAAGGGAGTAAATGGATTTAATATCAGTATTTGAAATTAGGAAGGATGGTTTTATGAAGAAGGCCACTTAGCTGTTCTCCATCTCCATCACGAGCCAAAGAAAAGAAATTGGTTTAAAAGACAACAGGAGGGATTTAGGTTAGATCTCAAGACACTGATGAGATGACCATTAATGAGATGATGGTGATGATGATCGGCTCCCCTCCACTGTTTAGTGGTCCTGTGGAGACAGGGAGGAGATGAGATGTGCTCTGAGAGCTCCTTCGTGCTTCCAGAAGTGTATATGTGTGAATTAAGGAGCAGGACAAAGCCTCTTGAGGCTTGAGGGCAGTGAGGGGTAACAGTGACGGTTGTTGCCCACCAGGTGGAGAAAGCGGGGGGAGGCCGGGGTGGACCGGCCTCTGATGATGGTGCTTGCTTATCATTCCCCTCTCCCCACCCTTCCTTCCAGCTGGAAGGCCAGTGCATAGCCCTGCATAATGACAAGCATGAAACCAAGGCTGAGAATACCAAGCTGAAACTCACGAACCAGGAGCTGGCCCGGGAGCTGGAGCGGACCTCCCGGGAGCTGCAGGATGCCCAGCAGCAGCTGGAAAGCCTCCAGCAAGAGGCCTGCAAGCTCCACCAGGAGAAGGAGATGTGAGTCTGGCCTGCGTGAATCCCCATTGGTGCTCTCCAACTCCATCGCCTGCTGTGAGCGTGCTACCTCCCCTCTCCCACACTCTGTCTCCTTGCCTGTAAACTGGGGATTGGGGCTCCTTGCTCCCTGAGATCTCTTCCAGGATTCTGAGACTAGTAAGCAGATCAGCACTGTGCCACGCCTTACCTGGGACTGACAAGCAATATACATCCCTGTTCTCAGAAAACTTATCACGTGATTAGAAAGACATTATCCTACCCAATGCTGAGTGAGCAGACAGACCGTACATGACTATTGGAGTTCAGAGACCCAGGCGACCAGGGTGGATGGGAGTGCAGCAGGCAGACTTCCGAGGTCAGCATAGAATTTGATGGGCGTGTGACAGAGCCCAGGAATCTTCCCTCCAGCTCTACCCATTGTCTTTTCCACCAGTGTTCCTCTGTGTGGGCCCACTAGGGGGAACCCCACATCTCTTAGGGCCTGCTTTGCTAATAAACTGCTTTTTGTGTCCAGCCATTGGGTTCAGCTTGCTAGGCAGAGGCACACTGAGAAAGAATCAAGGGTGGGTCCATACCTTCTGCTGGAGGAGTCCCTGGCAGAAGCAGTCATTCATCTTGTCTTGGGAGTGTTAGGTTTTGAGAACAAATGCTCTCCAAGGCCCAGGGAGAGGAATCTCACTTGTTTCTGTCTTCATTCATTTATCCATAGACGCATTTACTTATTCATTTTACAAACATTATTAAAAACCACTCTAAACCAGGTCTGTGGTGGACGTTCGACATATCTCACTTCTGTTGATAATTCGGCATTATCTCATTGACCTTTCCAGCATCCTGCGGTGGCAGGTACTGTTATCGTCAGTTCTCATTTATGGATGAGGAAACTGGGGTTCAGAGGTTTTAAGTAACTGTCCCAAGATGATAACTGCTAGACACATCTTGCTGACTCCTCCCAGTGAATAATGGGCTAGCCAGAAAATAGTTACACAGGAGTAGGACTGGCGTCATTCACTCGCTCATTTGTTCATGCATGCATTCATTCATTCATTCTGCAAAAGGAAATTGTGTGCATGGTCCTGTGAAAAGTGGTACAGAGAGTCTGATTTCAGAGAAAAGGGCAGTATTACTTACCAATTCCTGATGTTTTAGGTGGATTGACTCTCCTGGTTCAAAAGGGAAGCCCCTCGCTCTGTCTGATCATTGGCAAAATGCCGGCGCATCAGCCTGAACCCAGTTGTTCTGCCATTTGGCTCCTGCGTGGTGTCCTGCACTGTTTGGGGCATTGCAGAGGGTGAGAGGGAGGAAATGGGCTTGGATTTGGGGTTTTATCCTAGTAAGATATCTGCACTTAAAAACAGATATATTCCCAAGTAGCTGACTTAAAATGAAACCCCTCTGTTCCAATTCTTGGATGACCAGTGGGAGGACAGTGTATTTCATTGTAAATGAGCAAAATCAGTTCCTCCTCATTGAGAGCAGGTCAACAAGGCACAGGCATTTAACTTTACCAACAGAATTAAGGATTCAGGCTCTTAAAATTCAATCAAGTTCTAAAAGCAGCAAACATCTGAAGGCACAGGCATTAGAACAGCAAATGGAAATAAGCACCCAGTGCTGGAGTCGCTTCTCAGCACGAGGATTAAAATGTTTCTGAAGGCTTATCTTAATTAACCAAGCCAGAGATACAATCTCTAGAGGTTGGGAGTTGAAAAGGAGGGAAGGCAGGTTGGGAGGGAGAGATAAATTATTCCAGAACCTTCACGACTCGTTTGCAAGAAGCTTGCAATTGCCTTGTGCAGCCAGAAAGCATGCCGGAACCCAGGAGACCGTGTCCTGTCCAGGGAGGAGTGTCAGGAGAGAAGGACAGTGAGCGCCTTAGCTTGTTGTCTGTAGGACGGAATCCCAGACCAGCAGTACTGATACGACCTAACGCTCTGATCTCCCTCTCCATTTTATAAATGAAGAAACTGAGGCTCAGAGAAGTATAGCGACCAACCCAAAGCCACACAGCTAGTTAATGCCAGCAGACAGGGATGGATCCTAGTTCTCCTGATACCCATCCTTCCCCCGATGGTGTCGAGCTGCCTCCTGCTGCTCCGGAGCAGCTGGGAAGGGAGAGGATGGAGTTTGGAGTTAAACAGACCTAGTCATTTATCAGATAGAGTTCAGAACGGGCAAAATTAATTTTCTCGTTCTCTGAAGATGCTCCGGGAAAGAGAACTAGATCTTAAAATAAGATAAAGAAGGAACAGTCAAGCAAGGGAGATTATATAAAGATGAAGGTCAGCTGAAAATCAGCACCTCGCTGTTTTGTTAATTAACTTTTATTTTGGGTAGGTAGTTTATGACAAGGCACAAAATTCAAACGGCACAAAAGGATATGCACCTCCAAAAGAGGTTTTCCCCCGACCCATGACTCCTAGCTCGCAGTCTCGTAGTGTGTTTGTATAGCACCGGTCATGGTTTCTTGTGGATCCTTCCGGAACGTTCTATGCCTATGCAAGTGAATGCGTATGCGCTCAGACACACACACATACACATTTCATTTACAAATCGGTGGCACACCGTTCTGCGTTTGCCTGCGTTTGTCACTTGACAATATGTTTTGGAGAGCGCTCTGGATCTCCTCTCTCATCTACAAAGGAAGCCGATGGCAGTTCCCTAAAGGCGACAGGACCCTCCCACCCATCACTACTATGAAAAACAGCACGTTCTTGTCCTTTCAGTTCACGTTACCCGGAGAGAAGCTTGTAGAACATCTAGGTTAGGACTTTAAAGGTCAGTCAAGTATCCAAGTGTCGTTTTTGTTTTAGAAATGCTTTTCTTTTTTTTAACACAAAAAATCTGAATATGTGTGTGTGTATACATATATCCAGATAGATGTGTGTCTACCACCAATAGACGTATCAGTGCGTCAGTGTGGACTCTGTGTGTGTGTGCATGTGTGTGTGTGTGTTTATAGAGCATCAGCGATCATCTGGTGCCAGAGAAGACCTGGAATGCCTCGTTTCTTAGGAATTGGCTCATCAGTCAAACGCTCTGTGAGAACCCAGCCCTGAGACCTCGCGTGAGTGGTTTCCTTAGCTGGGGAGGAAAGCTGTGTGCCCCCGCTTCTCTGGAGAGAAGCAGAACCCAGGGTCGGCTGGGGGAGCCGCAGAGCCTGGTGCAGAGCCAGCCAGCAGGCAGCTCTGCTCACGTGGTGCCGATCAAAGCAGAGCCCGGGACAGGGGTTTGGGGACCCCGTTTGGATGGTGGGGAGTACGTTGTTTTCCCTCAAGTTGAAATTAAACATAACTGGTAAGAAAATGTTAGGAATTTGCAGCTCTGCAGGAGCCAGAGAAGTTTCACTGCTTAACTGGGACTGTCTGAGGTGAACTTAGAATTTGATTCAGACTGTTATTGCCACAAATCGACTTTAAAATTATTCTATAAAGGGGAGAAAAACCCACAGACACCTCTTAGGGAATCAGATTATTGTGAGCCTGGCGAGAGAGCCCCGTGGACGAGCGAGCTGCTGCTGCTTCGCCAGCTCAGTGATGACATGCCTGGGGCAGCAGCGGGTGAGTGTCCCTGCCCAGCCCGGTGGGCACGATCCAGGAGACTGGCAGCCTGTGGATGTGACGCATTTATGGGACTGGAGCGTGCTCCCTACACTAGAAACTGTGCTGTGGTTTGGAAATGTGCAACTTTGGACCCTTTGCAATAAGCTTGGGGGACGATTTAAAAATTTCTGAATCACAGTGCAGAGCGCAGAGGGAAGGACAGGCAAAACTGTGAAGTTAATCAAGGCGTATTTTCCAATGTCAGCTAATTCTGCCCTATTTTTTTCCTTTCTTCCCTGAGTAGCGCTGAATACTTTCTCAACGCACCCCTCCCTTCCTTTCCCTCTTCCTCCCTCCATCTCTGCGTGCCTTCTTCCCTCCCTGCCCCTCCTTCCCACCCTCTCTCCTCTGGGTCTTGCTGCTGCCAGTTGTTGACTAGGCCCCAAGCCAGGCTCTGCGTGAGGACACAGATGCAAACCAACCAGACACAGCCCCTGCCTCACAGCTGAGTTGCCCTCCAGCCACCCCCTGTAATTCTCAGCTTCTCTCTCCCCTTCCTCAAAACGCCTCCTGGGCTTGACATGTTCACACTGTGATATGAGTGACTGATGATAATTGATACATTAAATCTCTGCTTTAGGGTCGGCCCAGTGCCAGCGGTTAACTTTGTGCGCTCTGCTTCAGTGGCCTGGGGTTCGCTGGTTCGGATCCTGGGCGTGGACCTACACACACCTCATCAGGCCATGCTGTAGCAGCGTCCCACATACAAAGTGGAGGAAGATTGGCAGATGTTAGCTCAGGGCCAATCTGCCTCACCAAAAAAACCCGAAAAACAGAACTCTGCTTTATAGCTAGAGATAAATCCTAAATCAAAGAAACATAGCCAACAGTGGCAATTCCGGATATCTGGGAACAGACTGGAGAGTTTAGAGGGGAGTGGGCAAAGGGGAAAGGGTTCTTCAAGAGCTCAGACAACAAACTAAACCAGCATGTGGGGGGACAAATACCAGTCCTGCTCTCGCCCTCCAAAATTGGGCTGGAGAAGAATACTGGCGAACTCCCTGAATCCTGGGGAGGGCAGGACCCTTCGGAGCCTGGGGACAGTGCAGTAATCGGGCTGCAGCGCAGGTGGCGTGTGAGGTGACTGTGCCATGAGCAGGTTGGGGGCGGGAGGTCTGGAATAGGCCCCTGGCCCAGTTGAGGGTTGTCTGTGTGACCTGGGGGCCGTAATCGAACCTCTTTGACTGTCCGTATCTGGAAGATGGGGTAATTTCACCTTCCGAATGGTGCGTCCCTGGTATTAACTGAGACCATGCTGTAAGCCCCTGTGTGTAGCCAGTGCTGTCCAGCGGAAGGCCGGGCTCCTCTTGTCCCCTCTCTCCTCAGTGCGGGCACCGCCCGTGGGTTCCAGTGTGAGGGTCCTGGCATCCGCCTTCAGCTCAGAGCCTCGTACCCTGGGGGCTGGCCTCCCGGGACAGTCGCTCACCGCTGCCATTTGCCTCCTCCCCAGGGAAGTGTACCGCGTGACGGAGAGTCTGCAGCGGGAGAAGTCGGGGCTCCTGAAGCAGCTGGATTTCCTGAGGTGGGTCGGTGCTCGGTGTGTTCTCACGGCGCGTCCCAGACGCCTCGGAATGGAAGGGCCGGTCTGGTCTCCCCTGCCTACACGCTGGAAAAACACAGCTGCTGAGAGAGCACCCTTCTCCCCGCCGTCCCCAGCGTACTGTTCGGACACCCTCTCTGTTAGGTTTGGTCCATTTACACACATGCCCACCTCCCTCTCCAGTGTGGACCTCTGCGAGTGGGGTCTGCCTCCATCTTCTTGTGTCTCCCCCTGTACCTTGTGTGGTGCTTGCTTGAATAGGAGGGGAACTGAATTTATTGAGCAGCTACTCCAGGCCTGATATAGGAGCCCTTCACCTTTAACGAAACTTAGAAAAGTAGTGCAGTTGTTAGTACAGGGGGGAATGAGGAAGTTGATATTAGAGAAATGAAGTAATTTACCCAAAGTGACACAGCTACTCATGGGTGGAGCCAGAACTGAGATCCCTATCTGGGCTGATTCTCTTTATTCTGCCATATTCTGTTAAGGTTTGTTGAATGAATAAGTGAATCACAAAAAGAGCATGGGGAAAGGGGCTGCGGGGTTTTATCAGCCTGCCAGAACTCACCATAAATTCAAAGCTCATTGGTCCAGAATGTGCCAGAACAGCCCACGAGACCTCGCTGGGGAGGTGGTTTCAGTTTTGCCTGTGAGGTCTCTACGCTGCCGTGCCTGCCGCCAGCCAGACATCGCGCAGGGACTGGTGATGGCACAGAAGGACTTCGGGTTCTGATTTTTAAAGTGCAAGTGGTTTTGAATCAGGTACATTATGCAGTTATTTGGTTTTTTTTTTTTTTTTAATTTGAAAGGGAAGGTGACCGTGTCTGGCATCTGTGACGCTGCCAAATTGAAAAGTGCTTCAAACTGAATGCATTTCCGATTTTCTTCACTCAACCCATGATTCGGATGGGCCTCAGAAGGCTGGGAGAGGGAAGGCGTCTTAGGTGGCCAAGTCTAATCCATTTGAGTTAAAGTCTTGATTCCAAAGAAGGCTTTAGCGAAGGGAAGAGAACAAGGGTACAAGGATGAGTTTTTGTTTGTTTTTCTTTTCCCCTTTTTCATTGCACTTATACAAAATAGAAGGACAGGTTCCAGCGGGTGAGCAGGGAGACTGGCAAGGCGGAGCTCTTTCTGAGAGACCGGCGCATGTGCAGGGCCACACTCTGAAGCCCCCTGCTGTCGCATGGTCGCCAAGCTGGCACTCAGCCGCCGGGGAGAGCCAGAATGTGGAGGTGGTGGAGGATGGTGTGGAGTCAGGACAAGAGCTGGGATGTGACAAGGGGAGGCGGGGCCTGCCCTCCTAAGTCAAATGGGGGCCATTTCTGGGCACATAGTTGGGAATAAGCGTTTTGGAGCTGGAGCTGGTTCAAGACCCAGCGCTGTCCCTTGTTGCCTTGTGTGACTCTGGGCAGTTGCCCTAACCAGGCAGAGCCTTCATTTCTCATGCGTCCCTCACAGGCTTCTTTTGGGAATTAAATGACGTGTGTGAGTGGCGTCACAGCAGGGCAGTGAGGAGAAGGAAAGCCGAGAGGTGTAAAGAGAAGAGCATGCTGTCAATACTGAAGCTTCTGCCTGCACACAGCAGGACGCAACGCAGCACACTCCCTGATAAGGCTGAGGCTCCCAGGGCCCCCAGGTCCTCTCCCACGTGCAGGCTGCTGACGCCCCTGCCGCAAATGAGGCTCCCTGGCCTGAGACGCTCACTTTGCCACACTCAGGGTTTAGGGAATACCCTCTTCGTCCCTCCCAACTTGTTCGGATGCCCCTGGCTCTGTGCCTGCCTGCTCACCGGATGCAGAGAGCTGACGCACAACAGCTCCTCTTTTCTCTAAGCCAGGGGAACAAGGCCGGTATTCCAGCCTGCCTCATATCTCCACCCATAGCGCACAGCATGCATCGTGGAGCGCCCCGTCAGTGGCCGCGTTACAGCGAGGACTGCAGACGGCTGCGTGCCCTCCCTTCCCCTCCCGAAGTGCTGATGTTCAGGGGCCACTAGCCGGAAGAGTCAGAGAATCACAAACTGGACTGCACCTTGCGGTCACCTGGCCACCCTCTCAGCCTGCGCTTTAGTAGATAAGATTCCCAGCCATTAACCTCAAGTGCGTTCTGTGGTCACGCCGCAGGCCCAAGTCCACTCCCTTCCCACTCTGCTCTTTCCTTAACCCTCTGACACCTCCTGCCCCACCCTCACGCTTACGCCCCTATTTCATGGAGACGCTGGAACCATGGCGTGAGGGCTTCCTCCTGCGCCGTCCCCGTCCACATCTCCGCTTCTCTGATGGTGGATGAACTCCCCACTGCCTGGCAAAGGCTCTAGAATTCGACCCCATCTTCCTCAAGGACGTTCCAGCATTCCCTCCCTCTCCTCCATGGTCGGCTTTTTCTGGCTTGGAGAGACCAGCAAATGTACGCTGAAATCTCATATCTAACTTCTCTTGTCCCCACGTCCCCATCCAGCTACTTTCCACTTCTTTAATTGCTTTCAACAACATTTCAAAAGAATTGTTTATGTTTACTTCCACTGCCTCCATTTCCTTTCCTGATGTCTGTGACCCCCCAGGCAGGCTTTTTCTATATGATTCCACTGAGAGTGGAACCAGTGACCTTCATGTTGCTTAAAATATTGGCCAGTTCTCAGGGACGCCCACCCCCACCCCATCACCACCAATCTGTTCTTAGCACAGCTTCTATAGGGTTCCTTTTATAGACCAAGTCAGACCAGGGCACTCCTCTGCCATCCCCCTTCCGTGGCCACATATCTCATTTGCAGTAAAACTCCAAGTTCTTACAGTGGCCCCCAGGCTGTGAATGGCAGGTCCCCACGCCTCCGTCAGTCTTTCCGTTGACCTCATCTCCTAACTGCCTTCCCTCTGAGCACTCTGCTGTCCTTATTTCTGTTCCTCACACTCACCAGGTATCCCCACCCAGGCTTTGCGCTTGCTCTTCCCTCAGGTGACTGCATAGCTCCTCTCTCCTCTTCAAGCCTTCTCAGGACCGCCCTGCTGGAATAGCCCTCTGCCCTCTGGCAGTCTCCATTCCACTTTCTCCCCCACCATATTTTTCTCAATAGTGGTTCTCCCTGCACTGAATACAAATGCCCTGAGGGCGGGGACTTTCTCTTTTGCTCGTTGGTGCGCCCCTAAGAGCCAGGACGGTGCCCTGCGTGCAGTGGGTCTCAGGAGGCACTTGCTGAGTGAATGCATGTGGCATGAATGCATGAATGGTTCAGAGAGCCCAAGAGCAAGTTCACAGGCCGAGCTGGATCTCCTGGTCACCTCTGGGGGAGGCTCCCCCTGGTGATAGGAGAGACCAGTGCGTTATCCTTAAGGCTGTGCCAGGCCCTTCCATCTATCCCCCGCCTCTGAGCTGGTGTACACACAAACTACCCTCTGCCCTTAACCACAATCCCTAAGGAAGAGGTTCCCATGCTCCCTGGGCCTTCCACAGCACGCCCTCCTCCGCGGCCATCTGACTGGAGGACCGGCTGCTGTTGGATGTGTCGACTGCAAGCTCCATGTTTGAACAGATTCTCCTCTTCCGTCCACAGGGAAAGGAACAAGCACCTTCGAGATGAGCGAGACATAAGTTTTCAGGTAATTGGCCGGTGCTCCCTTCCCTGGGGGGAAGATAAGGACTGGGGTCCCGTGGCAGCCAGAACCCAGCTGAGACTGGCCCAAGAATGGCCTGAGGCTTGGAATCTGGTTGTTCATTTTGTGTGGGCAGGACGATGGCATACGAGTTTTTGAAAGTAATGAAGATGGAGGGTGTCCTACTGGTAGCAGTGTGTAAATTTCCATGAAGTAACACACTTTACTCTTGGCATAACAAGACGAAAATATTTGGGAGGGTCACACGTTTCTTGGATGCAGAAATGATAGTTCCATCCATGAGATGGCGCAGTTGAAATGTCATTGTCACTTTTAAACCAAAATGCTCACAGTTTTCTTCTTCATTAAAATTTTGATCTCTTGATGAAAAATTTGCATTTTTACACTGTCATAGAGCAAATTAAAATGTAAATTTCACAATTTACCTAGTTGATTTTAGTACAATTTTTTTTACCCTATGGGGACCCCTGCTCCTCCATACCTGAGTGCCACACTTACATACTTTCCCAAGTAGCATGAAAATCCTGTATTTATTCAAAGATCTTCACTTTGGGCAGCATTAAACAAAATCTAGGATTCCACGTTCCTCTCTCGTCTTTCCCTTTAGACAGTAGCTGCTAGATGCTCTGAAGGGGAGAAAAAAAGGGGCAGAATTGACTAATGCAACTTTCTAGTTATCAGGATTATCACACCGTGAGTTTCATGTGTGTCCTTGGGCAAGTCATCAGCCTCCCTGGACCATGACCCTGAGCATCACTTGAGAAAAGGGAATCCCTATCCTTTTTTCTACATTGTAGGTATTTTTGAGAAAAACTCTTGGGAAGAGGAGGTCTGGCCCAGAACCCTTAGCTGAACAGTGTCCTAAATGCGGTCAGCGAAAGGCAGCTGGTTTGCTCTGAATTAGGTCTGACCTGGTTTAGACCTGCAAATCCCCGAAGGACTTTGTTACATAGCCAATTCTTTTCTCGCCCTGACGGGCAGCCAGCACCCCTGCTGCCCCCCCTGTGTCCTCCTGGAGCTGAGCTGAAGCCCACACAGGTTTGCTTGATGGTGATAATAGTTACAATTGTTTTAGAAGTAACACTGAGTTTATTTTAAAACTTCCAACCAAATGTCACCCTAATCCCTTGACCTCACTTCCTTCACCTGCCAAACTCATTTTGCTTTGAAAAGGGAATGGAATTAAGAACCCTAGTGGGGAATAGAAGAAAGAAGAATAAAATCATGTTCATGCTGAATAATAATTAAAGATTAATTTGGAATCATTATAGCCATGCCTTCAGGGGCCCTGGGAGCACAGCAGCCCCTCCCTCTCTCATTAGGGATCACTGGGAATCATGAGGATGGCTGGTTCATGAGATTCTTCCTGTGATCTAACTCCCTCTCATCTCCTGGAAGACATCTGCCCCCACCCCACCCAGGTTCTCTGTTACAGATGTGTGAGCATTTTATCTATATCCACCCTACTTCCACGAAAGAGCTGAACTGTCTTATGCTAGCTTAGTAGCTGTGGACGGGGCACTGGGCTAATTGATCCTTTGGGCTGGTCCATTTCTCACATCTGGGACTTTGGAAATAAAGATGAATTGGAGCCACACAGAAGAGTGTGATTTGAAGATGCACAGAGTCTTTTCTGTCCATAAATATTTTCCCTATGCATTCCGCATTTATCCCTTCTTATTTGTCCTCTTGCAAACTGTCAGTACTCCTGCAAAGGACAACTCCTGTGACGGACCCAGGCTCTAAACTGTGTACTGGCTCCTTCGATTAGATTATTAGATGGTAGGTGGACGAATTCTGGTGAGAGATGACGGCAAAAGGAAAGAGGGGGTGAATGCTAACAGGGAGACCAGCACTTGCTTGCTTGCTTGCTTAACAGTTTTGTTTAGAGCCTGACCTCTGAGGTGGGAAAGTTGAGCCCTTTCTGCTCAAACACTGGGACAAATCAGCAGGCGTGGATCTGAGGGCATTTTGTGTTTCTCCAGAAGGATAAGGCAGCCAAGGCAAACACAGCTGCTCCCAAGGCAAGCTGGAAACAGAGATCTGGCTCTGTGATAGGCAAATATATGGACGGCAGAGGCATTCTTAGAAGGTGAGTCTTCCTTTATTTGTTCATTCATGATCTGTTCATTCATCTTGCGCAGCAGCATCTTGCTGCATCACTGGCAGCAGGCTCTGGGCCCACACTGGGTGCAGACTGGCCCTGGAGAAGTGGCCCTCTTGCGGAAGCCTGGGGTCAGCTGCACTCACTCCCCTTGAATCTTGGAGGACATGTCCCTTCCTTTCCTGACATCCAAGTGGGAGGAGGACTGTGCAGAGCAAGCGTCTAGGACAAGACATTGTCTTCTGGGGCCCCCACTTAGTGTGTTCCTGCAGAGAGGGACTGAAGAGGAGAGGAGAGGAGAGAGAGAGGGGTCAGAGGCGAGAGATGGAGGGTGTGGCTGGACGATGCTCTGCTGTCTGTTGAGCAGAATGGGTGCACCTGGTTTTTCAGGGCCATGGCTGTTTGGACTCTGAAGGGTGATTAACGTGTGGTGTAGAGTCTCCAGTAGTTGAACTCCTTCACAGACAAGAGCAGGGCCTGTGCTTGAAAGAGTCCTTTCAATGATTCCTATTTAATTAACTCAGAGATAACGTGTTTTGTTGCCACTGGACAGCTGGACAGCACATGATTGAGTCTGAGTCCCCAGAGGAGTGGCTTGCTCACTGCTCATTGAAAGAAACAAGCCAGTCCCCTGCCGTCTCTTCTGTTTGGCGTGCGTTCCATCCGCATAGGTGGTCACAGGGAGGCAGAGGCAGCCAGATCCCTCTGTATCAAACCCAGGGAGAAAGCATGTGAGTTTGCTCCTCCAGGAGATCCTGAGGACAGCAGGCCTGAGATAAACAGATGTGCAAAACAGAGGTGACCCTGGGGATCAGTCAGCTGATCAGTCAAGTCTTTGGCCCTGATCCTCATGAACCCCTTTGCTAAGTAGCTCAACGGGAAGATGCAATTTGGGGGCCAAGTTTTTGCAGTAATTGTTGGCCTGTTGGTTCCTCAGAACTGAATATAGTCGTTCAGCAAGCGTTAACTGATTATTTACTCTGTGCCAGACATTCGTCTGAGTTCTGTGAAGACTCCGAAGATAAATTAGATATGAGTCCTGCCATTAATATCCATTTTTTAAAAATATTTTATTTTCCCTTTTTCTCCCCAAAGCCCCCCAGTACATAGTTGTATATTTTTAGTTGTGGGTCCTTCCAGCTGTGGCATGTGGGACGCCACCTCAGCATGGCTTGATGAGCAGTACCATGTCCACACCCAGGATCTGAACTGGCGAAACCCTGGGCCACCAAAGCAGAGCGCGTGAACTCAGCCACTTGGCCACAGGGCCGGCCCCCATTAATATCCATTTTTGAGTGCTTGCTGTGTGCAAGATATGGGCCATGTGCTGTGTGCAGTGGTGAGCAAATACCTCCGCTTTCATGGAGCTTATGGCCGAGTGGAGGAAACAGACAATAACCAAGGAAGCAACAAATGTGGACCCTGGATTCCACTGCCACCTTTGCAGAGGGGCCTGCTCCCTATTGCTGGCACATGGCATTTGGTGGCAAAACCAAAAATAAATTTAGTCATCCTAAGCTGAAGATATTACACAATGTCAATAGTGCTTGAGAATTTCCCAGATAAAAAGGTTTTTCCAAGCAATGTTTCATTTTAGGACCGTTTCAGTGGCCATTTCTTTTCTGGTTGCAAAGCCGTTGAGAAAACATGCTGTGTTTGTTTGCACACGTGCTCACATGCGCACACATATGCACTCCTGTGTGTGTAAGCAGAGCGAAAGTGGCTGGGAACACTAACTGTGTCCTAAAGTGGGTAAGCAGTTGGTAGGCTTGTTGGAATACAGAAGAAATTTGTTGGAAAGAAGACAGTCTATTAAAAACATGATTTTTAAAGCTCGTATTAAAAACGTAATTTCATAAATAAGGGAAAGGTCCTTGAAGTGCTACAAATCCTCTATTTTATATCAAGGGACCCAAACTAAGTCACCACTTTTATGAGCAAGCACTAGATCTTAATATATCCTTCAGAGTTGCACTTAACTTCAGAACGGTGATAATGCATTTTTTTCTTTTTCCTCCCTGTTGTTGGCCCTTAGGAGTAATAAACATGATAAGCCGGGGGCAAACTGAAGGGAGCTCCTCTGTTCTGCGTATTCCGTGTCCTTCGCTGACCTTCTTTCTGCTTCGGCCCTGTCTCCTCAGCACGTCATCCCCATGGTATTTTCTTCTCTAATCTTTGCGTGTGAGTGCAACGTGTGTGTGTGCAGGGTGCGTGTGCGCATGTGTTTCGGTTTGGGACTCAAGGTCCTCCCTGTCAAACCGCCATCTCCTTTAAAACGCTTCTCAGCTTTGGTTCTCCTTCCTGTGCAGGAAGGACCTGTGAGGCCTTTGCTGTCGAAACCTCGGAAATACGGGCTGCTCGTGGGCCCTGCATCCGCTTGCCCGGTTCCCTCCACCTCCTGTGCTCCTCTTTGTTCTTGATGCTCAGATGCTTCTGGAAGCAAATATGCACTTTGACTCTGAAGCCACTTACTTGTGACTCTGACTTCCAGAGACACTGAAAGAGAAAGAGAAAGGGAGGAGAGGCAGGGAGAGGTGCCCTGCGGGCTTCCTTCTGACCCACAGCCCATTCGCAAGTGGGCAGCTGCCTCTGAGCCAGTGGACATCTGCCTAGAGGGGGAGCTCCCCCCAGAGGAGTGGGACCCCTCACTCACATCGCCAAGGGCTGCTGCGCCGAGGGCTACAGTGTCTTATTTATGAGGTAGGCAGGGCAGATGGGCCACATGTTATGGTGAGGACACTGAGGCATAGAGAGTTGAAGTCTCCTGCCTAGGGACGCACAGTAGGGGCAGGCGTTGGGACTGATGGTCAATCCAGGATGCTTTATTTCCAGCTCTGTTAGGCTCGTTTCTCACACTCTTTACTTCCCCTTCATAGCACTTCTCACAACTTGTAAAAGTGTTTACTTGAGTCATTATTGCTTTGGGCCCCCACTAAGCCAAGCATTCCATGAGGACAGGGGCTGTGTCCATCTGTTTATGACTATGTCATTAGCTTAATACCTGGTACTAACCAACATCACCTTCAGCGCCTTCATCCTCATCACCATCATCACCTTCGTTATCACCTTCATCATCATCACCGTCATCATCTTCATCATCCCCTTCATCATCACCATCAGGCACTTATATAAGGGTGTTGAGTGAATGAGCTAAAGAATGCTGGGTCTGGTTTTTTCCCTTTCCTGGAGCTCTCTGCCCCCAAGGTGTACTGCTCTTCAGTTTTCTGTCACAAAAGCTGTCAGGCATCCCTCCAGCTTCCATACTGATGCACTTTATGATATTCTCCCCACTTTTCTTTCTTCCCCACCCCAAAATAGCCAGTCAGAGGAGGAAGAAGATGTGTTTGGCATTCCGAGGAGGAGAAGCTCCCTGGGCCTGAGTGGGTATCCCCTTACAGAAGAGGAGGCAGGAACCAGGGAGCTGGAGTCTGGGGGTCCGCTCCACCGGGTGCTCCGCAGAATTATTTCCATTGAAGAAGACCCCCTGCCCCAGCTCCTGGATGGCGGCTTTGAGCAGCCGCTGAGCAGACGTGCAGAAGAAGGGGAGGCGTCGGGGCCGGCGGTGGAAGAACCCGCGCAGCAGGCCCGACCTGTGGACCCCACGCCCGCATCTCCCCGAGGGCAGCCTGTTGGGAAAGAAGACCTGTCCAAGGTAGGGCACATCCCACGCGGGCTGGCAGACATCACTCCTGTGCCTGTCCTTTGCATTTGAGCCCAGGAGCCCCAAAGGCAGCTCGGGAAGTCAGGTGTGGCTGGCCCTGTGGGTCACCGTATTTGTGTCCTTCAAACTCCACCTCCTCCTGCTTGGCTGAGTCTCGTGGGGGAGACTCAGGGGCCCTGGTGAATTTTCCGTATCACTTCTGCTGTTTGCCCCACTCCCTACCCTGTGGTCTCTTGGCTGATTCAGATTCAAAAGCACTTATTGAGTGCCTACTGAAGGTAGACTCACTGCGCGGCCTTAGCATAAAGTGTCACACGCTTTTAAGCTGCACGTCTTCCCTTACATTTTGAACTGCTCTCAAAAGGGCCACTCCCTGCTTTGGAAACTTCATGCACCATCATCTTTCTTTCAGTTCTTAATCAGCTAATCTCCCTTTCATGCCCAAATGCCCGGCCTGCTCCTCCCTTCAGTGGGACCCTCCACCGCCACGTCCCTCCTGTGCTCCCCGCCAGGTCTTCCTGCTGAGTTCTCTGAGGAGAAGGGGGCCATATGAACCATCTCCCTCTGGCTCACGGTGATGCTGTTCCTCACTTGTTTGTGACCCAGGCCGGGGAATAGTCTCCTCAAGCCCTCCACCCTTCATTTGACCTTCTAGAACAGCGTTAGCCATGTCCACGGCAACATGAGAGAGGCTCCCCGCTGCACACTGTGGCAGCCCTTTAGAACTGCGCCCTCGCCCCCCTGAGCACTTCCAAGTGGCTGTAGTAGCCCGTGTGCCAGGAAGCCTTCTCCAGCCACCGCTCAGGGACTTCTTGGCAGTGGTCATCATTCTCAGGCCTGGATTAAGATTTGTGCCTGCATATCGCTCCTCTGAAGGGCCCTAGGCCAGGGAGAGTGGAGAGCTGGGTGGCACCAATGGGGTGGGTGGAAACCCCTTCCCCTTACATGCCCTGCCACATCCCCTTTGGTGCACAGACCTACGCCTGCTGACAGTTGTAAATACCCCAAGACATCCCCAGAAATGTGCAAGAAGTGTCAAGAGGACAGTAGGAGACGGAGTGAGGAAAAGGCTGAGCATCCATGTCTGCCGTTCATTCCATCCTCGCGGTCGTCTGATGGGGCACGTCCAAAATTGATTCTCCCCTTTGTAGATGGGGAAGCAGAGGCCCAGAGGACGAGATCTGGCCGGGCCCCACAGTGGCGTGTGCCCAGCCTTCTTGTGCACTCACATCCATGCTCGCCCCACCAGGTTGTGCTGCTGCTTAGCTGAGACAGAGGCTGCCGCAGAGGGGAGAGGCAATCTCCTGGAAGTCACAGGGCAGCTTCAGCAGAGCATCAGCTCTTCAAAGGGGATGTGAGGCAGGGCTCCCCATGCAAGGCTGCTGAGGCATAAATCGGTACAACCTTTCTGCAAAGTAGTTTGATCATAGGAATCAAGAACTTGAAAATACATCTCCTTTGAACCAGCACTTCTGGCAATCCTTCCTAAGGAAACCCCCAAAGTCAGACGATTTAACTCAAGAATGTGTCATGTATGATAGCAAACAGTTGAAAAAATGTCCAATAATAGGGACGTAAATTAGAGTATGTTAATTCCATAGAATATTACACCACTGTTAAAATCACATTTTCAAAAAACTGTAGTGACTCAGAAATATTTATAATGCAATGATATATGAGAAAGTAGGATAACATTATATATAATATCTCAAATCTCTCAATAAAGCATATATTCATTCATCAATATAGAAAAAAGCCTGGAAGAAATCAAAATATGAAATGTGACTACTTTGGGCTGGTAGGGTAGATTATGAATGTTTGTTATTTTCCTCTCTACTTTTACATGTTTCCTAATTTTAAAAATTAGCATGTGTTACTTCTATTTTTTTAAAGCTTTTCTTTTGAAAGTGGTGGGAAGGAGGATGAGAACAGGTCTTTTTCCAGTCCCCTTTCCCCATCCGGTGGTCTCCCATAGGTTAAATGCATGAACTTGAGTGGGAGTTCGCTGCTCCTGTAGGTGGGTCCTGCCTTTTGCCTGCAAAAAAACGTGATCTCCTGGGGCGGGGCCAGGGGTGTGGGAGCCGGAGCGCAGGGCTGAGGGTCAGGCACGGCCTCTGCAGCCAGGCCCATCCCCTCCCACCCTGGGCTTCATGTGCTCTGCCTGTCCCTGTGTCCCTGGGGGGGACACAGATTGCTGCACTGAGCGTCAATCTCAAACAGATGACAACTGGAGGTACAGAGGCTGAGAAGAGACCGGCAAAGTGTCAAGGCCCTTGTGCATTGCAAAAATAAAGAAAACGGGGCAGGGGACGTAATTTTTGAGGTTGAGGTTTTTTTTTAAGTTTAGTTTAGATTCCTGTAATTGACCTTGAATTCCCTCCTAAGTACTGCATGCAATTGATTTCTTCCCAAAAGGCTGTTAATGACTTTTCTCTGAAACTCAAGTACTGCTAATATCGGCCGCCACTCCATTATAGTATTTGCTCAACGAGAGGAGCTAATTCCCTCAAATCCACTTCTAAATGGATTCAAAAGAGCCTCCTCGTTTGGCCAGGCAGTGCTGGGCTGGGCCTGAAGGCAGGATTCGGGCAAGTAAGCAAGCAGCTCTCTGGAAGGAATAACCATGCAGCAGAAAGGACCCTGTGCTGGGGCGTGGCTCCTCACTCTGCCCGCCGCTCGGTCAGTGTCCTAGAGCAGGCCCTTCCCCCGCTGGGCTTTAGCATCCCAGACTAACGGGCAGGTGGCTCCCAGACCCTCCCGCTGCAGGTGGAGGAGCCGGAGGGCAGTGACCGGCTCACTCTGAGGAGCTCTGCCCAGCGGCCTGGCATTGCAGATTTCCCAGCCTCCAGAGTGGAAACTGCCCGGCCTTAGTTCCCCAGCGCAGATGGGGACCCTAGACGAGGATCAGAAGATGCTGAGATGAGACAGAGAGCAGTGTGCACAGAGGCAAGAGTCCTCTCTCCATGCGGTCCAGGTTCAATGGTAGGGCAGAAATAAATGTCCCCTACCCCAGCCTGGGATGTCCCCACCCCTGTAATACAGATAAGTCTTCTTTTTCCTCTCCCCACTTCTCCCTGCAAACACCCGCCTTGTCCTTCCCCTCCATAGGGAATCCCTGCCTCCTCTTTAAGCCCCAGCCCAAAGTCCCTTCCTCTGGATCCTTGATTCCTCCTCCGTGCTCCCAGAGCACATGGAACACTGCTCTGCTTGTTTGCTCACATGGCTGCCCCCCTCACTCCACCAGACACCAAGCCTGCCTCCTGTCCCTGTGCTGTCAGACCCGGCACAAGACCTGTGACACAGTGGGCAGGCAGCACGTGTTGGCAGAACAAATGTCTCTCCTCCCTCCTGCTGACGCTGGAAGGAGCCTCTGTGCCCCGAGCCCAGAGCTGACTGCATCTGAGGCCGGAGCGGCTGCCCGGGTGCTGGTCTGGAGGCCAGGTCTCCACCCTCCCCTGGACATTAGGGACAAGTGAAGGGCAGGTTGTGGCAGGAACAGGGGGCGACCATCCCAGAGGTTGACCAGACTGTCTGCCATCCACAGGAGGAAGGCTCTCTCTCCACCCCAGACCGGCTCTTCAAGATTGTGTTTGTGGGCGACTCCGCCGTGGGGAAGACATCCTTCCTGAGGCGGTTCTGCGAGGACCGGTTCTCCCCGGGCACGGCAGCCACTGTGGGTGAGTTCTTGCCCTGAGCCGGGTCAGGGAAGGGGAGGTCGTGAGAAGGGGGCCCAGGGAGGGACTTGGAGCCCAGTGGGAGGGGCCCTGCTTGGCTTTAGGGGGCCAATGTCGGCTTGTTCCACAGTGAGGGGCAAGGTGAGGCCCACCTCCCGCACAGTGCTGGCTGCTAAGCTCATTCTCCTGGACACTTGGGACCACGAACGCTTCCTACGTCCAGCCTGAGTGGAGCTGAAGCTGGCAAAGATGGACTTAAGCCTCTTGTGCCCTCTCTGAGCTGTCTCTCTCTGATCGCTTCCTCCCCACTTTCAGCAGGGTCCTGAGCCTTCGTGCTCCTCCTGAGGCCCACCCCCTGCCCTCCCAGCCCTACCCTGGGCCCCCTGCTTCCTTGCCCTGCCCCTGCCTGTATGTGTGTGTGTAGACAGGGGGATGGCGGACAGTGCTCTGGATGGCTCCTTGTACCCATCGGATTTTACCCATCCTGTATCTCGGGCCTGCTGGGTGACAGCTAGAGTTCATTGTGAACGTTCGTTAGGCTCAGCTGTTAATGGCTGATCCTGGCTCAATGTGTTCCCACTCTTGGATGATGTCTTATTTAGATAGGGGCCTTTGCTGCCTTCACCCAAAGTTGCTCATTGCATTGGAATATGTGGCAAGACCCAAGGGCATATTGACCTTTTAGCTTCTACCAAGTTGAATCACTCAGGCAAAAAAATCTATTGAGGGCCTACTATGTACCATTTAGTTGTGCTCATAAGTCAACTCTATTTGCAAATATATTGATGTGGTCTGAATATCTAGCGTGGGCTTTTTTTTTTTAAAGGTTGGCACCTGAGCTAACATCTGTTGCCAATTTTCTGTCTTTTTTTTTCGCTTCTTCTCCCCAAAACCCCCCAGTACATAGTTGTGTGTTTTTAGTTGTGGGTCCTTCTAGTTGTGGCATGTGGGACGCCGCCTCAGCATGGCCTGCTGTGCGGTGCTAGGTCCACACCCGGCATCCGAACCGGTGAAACCCTGGGCCGCCAAAGCGGAGCAGGAGAACTTAACCACTCGCCCACGGAGCCTGCCGCACCATGGGCTTTTATATTCATTGTTTCCTTCTATCTTCACACAACCCTGGCAGGCAAATACTGTGATCAACCCAATAGACAGATCAGGAAACTGAGGCCCAGAGAGGTTAAGAGGCTTGTCCACATTCCCATCAGATGATTAGTGCTGGTACTGGCCCCCACCCCTCCCACACTCACGCCCCTTCTGTTCCAGTCCACAGTATCCCTAACAATATTGAGTTGTGTGTGCTCAGCACCCAGTAAGTGGTGAGGGCACTTTCCTACCATGGGAGGTGGACAGAGGGTGGTGCAGGCGGGGGAGGCTGCAGAGGTTCAGGGGGGCATCAGAAGTCCTGATCTCCATCTCAGCTCTGCCACTGACACACGTGCGACCTCAGGAAGACATCTTCCCTCTTTGGGCTTCAGTTTTTCCTTATCTGAAAAATGAGCGATTTGAACTGAGTCACCCAAGACTGCTTCAAGCCTGGTTCTCTGTCCAGAACGTCTGAGTTTGGCTATCTCACCAGCTGGCCCTAGGAGACGAACTTCCATGCCCCGGAGCCCTGCTGGGGACGCTGCGTCCTCTGACCCTGAGCTGGCCCTTCTGTCCCACTTCCCTCCTACAGATGGGTCTCTTCCCACATGCTTCAGGTGCCCCATTCTTACTGCTGGGCCTTTTGCTATGCTGTTATCACATCTGGAACATCCTCCTGTCCCCTCCCTCTGTCCCATTCCACCCAAAGACTCTGAGCATCCTGATGAAGGGTCAGGATCCTGACAGGAAGACCTGTGACCCCAGCCCAGGAGAGTCTGGCCTTGTGTGGCCTTGAGAGGAACGGCTGGGAGTGAGCCAAGTGTGTGGAGCAGGGTGACGCGGGAAGCATGGCTGTGGGAGGTGCACTTGCCTTCCCTGGAGAGCATTCAGGGGGCAGGCCCCCGCAAGCCTGGCTCCAGCACAGGCCTGTGGGAGGCGGGGGGATGGAGGCCGAGACCTCGGGCCCTCAAAGGCGTCCCTCGGAGCAGAGTGCATGTAGTATGCCTCTCCTGTCGATGCATCAGGGAATCGGGGTCCGTTTACATTTCTAACTTGTGCCCCTGGGATGGAAGGCTCTAAAAAAGAGAAAATCAGACTAATTTGCACTTCCCAGGAGGCCAATTATAGAAACACCTACAATTTAGGAAGGGGAAAAATATCAAAGGTTCCAAATCAGGAATGCCCTTCATCACACTGCACAAAGCATGCTGGAGCAGCAGCTCCAATTAGTCTCCCTGCCACGCAGCGCCTGGTGCTGCTACACGTGTCAGTAAGCAGATGTCACGCCAGCCACATGAAAGACGCTCCCTTTAAAGAGACAGAGGAGCCACCGAGTCCTGGCCCTGTGAGGATGGAGAGGTGGCAGAGGAAAACTAGAAATATCAGGCATTCTACCACTGGGACAAATCACTCTTTTTCTCTACCCGGACAAACGCACTCCTTCCTCTCTGGCTGCCAGAGTCCCTGCAGGTCCTGACATCCTAGGAGTGGGTGGCCCTCCGCCCGGCCTCCACTCCCAGGCCCCTGGTGCACTAGCCTTTGCCTGGAGACAATGGTTGGGATGACCTTTTTCATTTCCTGCCTCTTTGTTGTCTGTATGTCTCTTCTGTCTTTATCTGTCCAGGCTGCTCTGGGGTCCCTCCCTGAGCCCTGCAGGGTACAGGCCTCAGAGGCTGGGCCTTTCTGAAGGTGGCAGGCGACAGCCTGTGGTTCCAAGATCTGATACTTTAAGGGGGAAAGACTTTTTGAGCCTCCTTAAGCATTTGTGAACATTCTTACAGGATGCAGGAGGGAGGCTTGTCTGTTGTCAGGAGCCGGGGAGGCGTGTAGGTGCTTATCTCTGAGGGCTGCTGTGGATGCCGAATGCGTTTCCCCATGTTCCCTCTCCCTGCTCCAGGCAGGGTCACAGCCTCAGAGTGAGGATTGCCAGTGACCCAGTGGCTGGCATCAGGAGCTCTAAACTGTCTCAAGGGTGAATGTTGCTCTTGACTCTCCCCCACCTCTCTTCTTGTCCTCTGGCCCTGCCTCCACCTACCCCCCTCCTCCTGCGACTGCGCATCCCTTTGCATTGGCTGATGAAAGCCTGAAAGCATGACCCAGCCCCCAGGGATATTTGACTTTTGTTACAGAACTTTGAAGAGGATTTTCTGGAGAAAGAGAGAGAGAGGGAGGGAGGGAGGGAGAAAGAAATTTGAGGGCAGTCTTTCTTCCTCCTCCATCTTTGCAGTGAGGGGGTAAATTCATGAATAAAAACAATTGTCTTTGCGTTGGTATACTGCTTTTACACTTGCGAGCTCATTTGAACCTTATTATGTTCTATCCCCAAAGAGGGTACGGGTTACGTCACAGTGAGGAGCCTACAGCTCAGAGAGGTTAAGTGATTTGATCAAGGTCTCACAGCTAGGAAGTGGCAGAGAGAGGACCAGAACTCAAGTCCAGTGCCTCCCTGTCCAGTGCTCTGTCCATTTTCCCACATCGCCTCCCAGGATCTGCACAGGCAGAGTTTCACCCTCGGCCTGATGTGGTTCCGGACATGTTGGGGGCTTGATTTTCTGATTTGGAAGTGACAGCCGCTCTACCTTGCAGGCATCGATTACCGTGTGAAGACGGTGCGTGTGGATGACTCTCAGGTGGCCCTGCAGCTGTGGGACACAGCCGGGCAGGAGAGGTGAGGAGCTGTCCCCAACTAACGTGCCTCCCGCGCTCCCCTGAAGGCAGCCGCGCCCCTGACCCTCCCCTCCGTGCAGGTATCGCTGCATCACCCAGCAGTTTTTCCGGAAGGCCGACGGGGTCATCGTCATGTACGACCTCACCGCCAGGCAGTCCTTCCTGTCGGTCCGGCAGTGGCTGAGCAGCGTGGAGGTGAGCTGGGGACCTTCTGCACTGGTGCTTGCCTCCTGCCTCCTTTCCTCTCTGCCCACCTCCCGCCCGGCCCTCCGCGCTTCCAGTGCCTGGTCTGGAACCCACCTTCTCCAGGAGCAAACTGATTCAGGCACTTATACATCCCTTCACCCGATGCCTGGTACCAGGCCACTCACTGGGGAGTCAAAAATGAACAAGGCAGGGGACTGCCTGGTTGTGTAGCGGTTAAGTCTGCGTGCTCTGCTTTGGCGGCCCGGGATTCGCTTGTTTGGATCCCGGGAACAGACCTCCACACCACTTATCAAGCCATGCTGTGGAGGCATCCCACATATCAAATAGAGGAAGATGGGCACAGATGTTAGCTCAGGGCCAGTCTTCCTCAAAAAAAAGGTGAACAAGGCAGACACAGTCTCTGGCCTCATGGAGGAGAGGACACAAAAATTGCAGATTCCATCAATAATCATGTCATCACAATGGCAATAAGTGCTCCAGTGTGTGGAATAAGACTGGGGGAGGGGACACAGAGTGGAGTGTCAAGGAAGGTTTTCTCAAGAAATCAGCGTTTAAATTGAGTCACAACCGTCTTCTTCCCCATTCTCACCCCCACCTCTCCCCACTCCCAGCATTTTTCTAGCATTTTTCTAGTTCCACTGGGCTCAGCTGTACCCAGCCGAGGAGTGGCACCATGCAGTGTTCTGGGGCCTCAGTCACGATCCTGCTCATGAGGGGAGGTTGACCTGCAACGTGAGGGCCCCTGGCTCACCCCAGAGTCACCCTGGGCAGGGCCCCTGAGCAACAGAGCTCTTCTTTGAATTCTGCGTGATCTGTAAAACTCTACTTCCTTGATTTATACGTGCAATATGTTGCCTTGTCAGCGCTTTCCACTTCCAGGCCATCTACGTGTTCTTCCTCTTCCGCTCGCTTGCAGACTTCTCAAGGCCAAGGGCAATGTGAACGAGCCACTTAATTTTTTGACAGGGCCTCAGCTGATTCTTTCACAAAACCAGCAAGTAGGATGTCCCCGCTGTTTCCCCCAGAGCGGGAATCCTCCTTGTGTATTTATTTGTTCCAGGCCCTGCTCTAGGATCGGGGAGTTAAAGCAGCAGATAAAGGAGACGACATTCCTGTCCTTGTGGAGCTCTGTTCCACCCTCTACTCAAGCCCCTCAGACCTGGCATAGCCCCCTTCCCTCATTATCACATGTCACACTGCTGGAAAGGACACTGTACCAGCCTGGATACCTGCTGAGAACTAAAAGTGCACCTTTGTCACCTACCCCAGTGCCTGGCAGGGACCCCAGAGGACTAGTGCTGGGCAGATGTTGGATGCATGCGTGGGTACTATGTCGTTGTGCAGACAGGATACGGGGTTGTTCATTTCTTCATCCTTTTGGCCCTAAGATCTATGATTCCTCCCACCGAAATCTGTTTCTCTTGTAGTTTGGACTGGCTCCTTTCTCTACTGTTAATCCCCAACTTTCTCATTACCCAGAAAAATAAGGAACAAGAATGGAAGCCAGATTCAACGGTTTCTCAGAAATTTGCTTAATACAAATTATTTCTCAAAATTATTGTGCCTAAGACACTTCCAATAGAGAAAATGTAAGTTTTGGAATGGAGTGAATGGCTCTACAGCAAGGTAATCGTGGAAGCAAACGGCATGGGTTATCTGCGAGTGATTCCTATTGAAACTTCGGAATTTATGACATGATTTTTTTTATTGAGGTTATGGTAGTTTAGAACCTTGTGAAATTTCAGTTGTACATCGTTGTTTGTCAGTCGTCTTAGGGGTGTGCCCCTTCACCCTTTGTGCACACCCCCCAACCCCCTACCCCCTAGTAACCACGCAATAGTTCTCTTTGTCCATGTGTTTGTTTATCTTCCACATATGAGTGAAATCATACAGTGTTTGTCTTCCTCTATCTGGCTTATTTCACTTAACATAATACCCTCACGGTCCCTCCATGTTGTTGCAAATGGGACGATTTTGTGTGACATGACTTTTTTTGACGGCACCGGCAGAGTTGTCTTCCTCACAGAAGTTAAGCACCAGATGAGACTTTAGGGATCACCTCATCTGGTGGTTTTCAAACTTTCTTCCTTGGAGCCCTAGCATCAGGGCCTGGGGACAGGTATAGTGGTCACAGTTCTGGGCCCCTTGCCCCCATCTCCGTCAGAGCCACTCTACTTCTTTCAGTCTTGTGTATCAGAGGGCCAGGTACAGTTAGACAAGGGAGTCTCACTTTGAAAGTCACAGAGCTAATACAGCCAGCTCACGCTCCAACGAAGAAACCGAGGCCATGACTTCTTCAAGATCACCCATTCTTTTCCAGCCACAGACATTTAATTGTCCCCCAACATCTAAATTTTGACGTATGCTCGAGCCGGGCAGAGACAGTTCAAATAGCCTGGGATTAATAGAGATGGATGGAGGCAAATTTATAGAACTCTGTCATCATTAGGCGGGTGTGGTTGCTAAGGCTCCTGCTTGCAAAGAGAGCCTGCGACTAGCAGGAGAGGTGGAACATAGGTTGAGTTTAGCGGTGGAGGTGGAGGTGAAGAAATGTCGGAGGACCATCATTGTAGCTGGAAGCACGAATTCAGCCATCGTCCAGAAAACTGTGCTGAGCACCGGATGTCTGGCACGTTCCTGATGGGGAGGGCTGAGAAGCACTGTCAGCGTGCACCCGACAAGTGTGCCCCGTGGAAACCCTACTGCATCTCTGGGCTCAGGGAGCCAAGCACAGATCCATCCGTGGTTGATTCAGAATTATCTGCGTGTGCATGGAGCCTCTGCTGTATAATTGGTAGTTTGAGTGTTCCTTCTTTAAACTTTTAGCAGAAGGTACAGGTAGGCTCTAAATGATGATTCCAAACGTGGACGAACGTCAGGGTCGCCTCTGGAGCTTACAAACAAAACAAATGCTAGGGCCTTCTCTCCCAAATAGAGTGATTCAGGGCCTAGAAATCCAAAATAAAGCAACAGTGCCCCAGGTGACTGATTCTCAGTCGCCATGGTTCCTAGCCTAAACTGGTGCTTCTCAAACCCTAATCTGCATAGGACTCTCCTGGGGTCTTGTTACAGGACAGAATCTGATTCACCTGGGGCCTGAGCTTCTGCATTTCCAACAAGGTCTCTGGTGAGGCGGATGCTGCTGGTGCAGGGACCACACTTTGAGAAGCAAGGTTCTAAATCTTAATTTTCAAAGATGCCCGTGCTCCTTCAACAGGAATTTGCTGAGCCTCTCTCACGTGTCCAGCACTCGCGAGGCCCTCAGGATGAACCCAATTCAGTGGCCCAGGGTTTCGCGAGCGAGTGCCAAAGGCTGTGTCAGATGGCGGAATGTGTGTTGAAGGTGCGGAACGGTGGCATCATAAATGCAGTTATTCTCAAGATTCTTGAAGAGCTAAGTCATTCTGCCTTGGCAACCAGCAATCAGAGGTGCCAGGTGATAGATTAAAACTTGACACCTAATTTGATCGGAGGGGAACTGAAAATAATAAGTACTTGATATTTGTGGAGCACCTTATTTTTCCATAGAGCTCCAAGCACTTTGCCAGCTCCCTCGCCTGGAGAAGGGAGGGTGGAGGGGGAGCTCTAATAACAGGCTTCAGGTTCTGAAGCCTTGTTATTAAGTGAATGCTGGCCAGCTGTTCTCAGTGCCCCTTCCTCCCGCAACCTGAAAAGGAGTACAAGAAGAAAAGGCTTAAATTGCCACAGATTATACATGGCAAAGACTGACTCTTGGAAGAGGTTGTGTGGGGCAGGTACAGATGCCCGGGGGTGGTATGGCATTCCCTGAAAAGGAAGTTCTCACCATCCCAGCTCAGCCTCTTCCTGGCCATGACACTTTGGCCAATCACTCAATGAAGGAGTGGACCAGTGGCTCTGAAGAGCTCCTCCTGGTCCCCACATTCTACAGGGTCTGGCATTTGACCCTCCTGGGGGGCCAGGAGTGCTTGTGGATGAGAGGATCCCAGAGGATCCTTCCAGCCCAGCGGGAACCAAAATCCTACGGTGCAACAGAACGAACGCCGGCCCTGCTGTCTGAGGTGGGAGAGCGCTGCCCTCATGGCCGTTCTCCTGCCCCACCCTCCCTAGTCCCCTTGCCACCTGCCCAGCTTTGCCTTGTCTGCAGGCTTTCAGCAGAAGAGCCCCAAGGTGAGCCCAGACACACTCTGTGCTGATTCTTCTGCCATTTCACATTTCCTCTACACCTTACAGGAAATCAAAGCAGTTAGTCACTCCTGCCAACTCAGCATTCCCAGCCCGCCCCTACCTCCTCCTCCTCTCTGCTGAATGAGACTGGTTTAGCAAGTCCAAGAAGAAGCTGGTCGGACTCTAAGGGCCCCACGTTTAGACTGAGGGACAGACTTGACATCTGCAGACTGGGGGGCCTGTATCAGGTAGAGAAAATCAGATTGGGTACAAACCTGTATTTCCCCCAAACCCAGATTGTTGATCCCCAATGTCTGCAAATCTGGCATGTTGATCTTTTGTCGTTCTGATAGCACTGTATTGTTAGGCCTGTTGGTCAAGGCAGTGGAATATGACTGAGTTTATTGAGCCAACAAGACCACTGTCTCTGAGCTGGAAAACAACTTGGAGGTTCATCTAATGCAACTTCTTGTTTCATAGGAGAAAAGTCCTGAAATCCAGAGAGAGGAAAGTGATTTGTCCAAAGGCACCCACAGCTTGTCAGAGGCACAGCCAGAACGAGAAGCTCGGGCTCTGCCACTGAGGGATGCTCTCTCTCGTCACATGGCCCGGGGTTGAAATCTGCTTCTGAAAAATAGCTGTTCCTGTCTTTTTCAGTCCTTCTTGCTTCAATCTCAAAGCAGAACAGTTCTTCAGCTCAAAGGAGCCAGGCCCACTTTCCTCTTCCCTCGTGGACTGCTAGCTAATTCTCATTCTGTGATCTTTGTCATTGGTGACAATGTACAGCACAGAGCAAAAAATAGCAGTTTGATTTTTTTTCCCACATTCCAAGTTGAGCTTGAAGTGCTGGCAGTTTAAATCGAACTACACAAATAAATCTTGTTTTGACTCATAGTCCAGGGGGTGGATAAATATGGAAACCCCCAAGATATAATTTTGCAGTCATTTTTTTCCTTAGCATAACTGCATGCTTTAATGTGCTGAGAAAATTTTTATTCTGGCTCCAGAGAAACAGCAGCGCTATCCCAACCAAGTGCTTTCTGTTGCCTCGCAGCAAATAGATATTAAAACACACACACACACACACTCACACTCACACACACGCACTACAACCCACCAAACCCAACAGCTGCACACTTTGAGCTGAATGCCAGTCCTCTGCTGCCAGCTGACAGCTCATGTTATTTAAAGTCATAGATGGGTAATCTTTTGAATTTCAACGAGTCTGTCTTCCAACAAGCTCAAGTTCAGAGAAAGGCAACTAAAATGATGGAAGGTGTAGAGGCTTCTGTGTCAGGGAGTCAGAGGACAGAAACCAGCTTCAGAGGCCTATTTCACATCTCAGAGAAGAGACCCAGCAAAGAGGAGCGATTTGGGCGAGGCCCACGGAGAGACAGTGGCAGAGCCCGGCTGATACCCAGATCTCCTCCAGAGACTGTGTGCCTGGCTAAGGAACTCAGCTTCCTTCCTTCCCTCTGACCTGGCATGCCTGTGAGATTTTACCAACATCTACAGAAATGTAACAGAGGTTGGGTGGACCTCAGATTTATTCGCCAGAGGAGGTGCACTTTGGACCTTTAAAGGAAGTCTTGCTTCATCTGGTGGAGAATTATGAGCATCTTTGTGCCAAGCAGTATACAGGCTGAAAACCTAGTTAGGTATGCAAAAGGTGTAATGTTGAGGCAGATAGCTCAAGACCTGAGGTTAAAGTCGGGGAGCACCGTGAGACACACAGCCCAGCCCCGGCTCCTCCCCACGACCCTATGTCAGAGACTGATCTTGCGCCCACTGACTGCCCGTGAGAGATGGCCCGTTCTCCAGGCTTGTGTGTGTTCTCGCTTATTTGTGCCTAATTCTCCTTTACCGGTTGCAGGCCAGAGCCCCTGGAGGGGAAGGGAGCTGTGCAGAGTGTTTGTGTGAGGGAGGCAATGCAAAGAACAGAAGCCACAGCTCCAGCTGGGGCGTTGGCTTTCTTTTCTGCTCCTTCTAAGCTCTTTTATTTTTATATCCAAGAATTGCTTTAAAAAAACAGACTGTCCCTTCTTCTCCCAGGAAACAAGATTGCTGTTTGTGGTGCGCAGAGCTCAGATGTTGGGCTTATGACTATTTCCTGCCTTATCCTATTCAGTCATTCGATACTCACCGTCCCTTTGCAGGTGAGGAAACTGAAGCCATCATTCCAAGATACCGGAATCCGGGTCAGAATTCTGCCCTGGGATTTCAAGTCTGATGCTCATATTTTCAGAGTTTCCATATCAAGAAATCACACAAACCTTACTCATTCCTCACACATAAGTCTACAAATATCTCTCTTTCATGTGCTCCAAACAGCGAGCCTTTTGGCCCATTTCCCTGCTTTCTCCTCTTTTCTTCCTTTTCTGTGAACAACTCTTTGCAGAGACACAGCACAGTCAGAGAACGGAGGCCTTCCCATTAAACATCACTCTGATAATAGGGAGCCACAGCATTCTCTCTATGCCGTAAGTGGGTTTCTCACTTGCAAATAATTGGAATCTGGTGCAGTCCACTTAACACATCGGCTACAGTGCACATACTTCCATCTGTTTCTGAGGGCTCGGAAGACGCCGTAGATCTCGTGGCTCCTGGGAGTCATCATGACCAGTGTTAATTACCATCTTAACATGGGTATGTGGAAGTAGCACTTTTAGAGAGTTCTAGTTAATAAGACACTAAATAGCAGAGAGCTCATTGGAAATAAGAATGAAGAGAAAAAGACCAGAGAATTGTGGCCCCGTGTTCTAAAGCGTCCTCCTAACTCAGTGACTTTATTGTCGAACGCTCTTTTGGATTCTCTGAGCCTTCACATTCTCATTTAGAAAATGAGAATTTTTTTCACCTCTGAACTGCAAAAAAAAAAAATATCTAGATTAAGGAAACATTGAGGCTTGATTTCAAATGTAATTGCATTTGAACTTAAAATATGTGAACCTGTCGGATGGACTTTGGATGTTTATTTGAAAAGGGAAGGTAAAGTAGCTAAACTATTGGCAAACTCTAAGTGTTGTTAGCTTCTGTTGTGCCACAGCCCTCTCCATCTAGTAAAACATTTAGCTACAATAAATAGCTATTTGTTACCAAATTATGATTAAAAGCCCCTAATTAAATATCTCACAGAGTAAAAATAACAACCTGCTTAAATGAGATTACCATATTTATTCACTGAATAGCTGTGCATCCTGGGGCCTTTGTTGGTCCTCGGGGGAGAGGCACATGTGGCACCCCCGTTTCACAAGGGAGGGAACCGTGGGGCGCGGGGAGCCTGGGGCACTGGCCCCTGGCTGATATGCCACAGCTATTGGAGGAGTAAACAGGGTAGACCGCTTGAGTAAACCTGTTACTTCTGGCCCAAAACGTGCAGGTGCTGTGGCCACACGGTTCTTCCTGATACAGGGCCTTCCTCAGAGCCGAGCACCAGTGACAGGCATCCGCAGTGCCCCCTGTGGGGATCTCCAGCGAGGCACGTGACAGTCATCATTGGGCGCTGTGGAACCAGTACCATGAATCAGATGTGGACTCAGCCCTCAGGAGCTTACGTGCCCAATATGAGGCCCCTAGAGGGCCCCTAGGACACCGCCAGACCACATTGCCTTAATTCCTGCAGTTCATTCTGGTTCATTTAGACTAAGTCTGGTCACTTGGGAGTGGCCTTAGGGCCGCTGTAAGGACACATATTTTATCAGTGTCAACTGTGCCCTCATCTTACTGTCAGCTCCCAGGACACATGGGGAGCCTGCATGTTCCATCCAGGGTCCAGGAGGAGTGGAGGAGGGAGGGTCCCTGCTCTGGTGGGGACCTGGGGGAACCCACAGGCAGGCCTCAGGCACCTTGCAGAAGCCTTGTGACCTGAGGCTCTCGCAGAAGGTGGCTCTCCTTGTCAGCTTTCGGGATGTCTCTCTTATTGCCTGGCCAATTGTGGCAGCGGGGGATTCGCAAGCCAGATTGTATCTTTCCAGCCAGCATTTTAAGCCTCCCCTTCTGGGTTCTCCTCCTGGATGCTTCTCTCAAGTCGGGGGATTATCTGTTCTGCAGGAAGCTGTGGGAGACTGCATTCCTGTTCTTCTGCTGGGCAATAAAATTGACAACGAGAAAGAGCGGGAAGTCCCCCGAGGCCTCGGAGAGCAGCTCGCCAAGGTAAAAGACAAGCATTCCCAGCTCTCTGGACAGGGTGAGGCCCCGAGGGCAAGTGGGTATGTGCCCAAGAGCCTGGGTGGGAGCCTTCTCTGGAAGCCCCCTGAGAAGGAAGCAGGTGGGCAAGATGAGTGTCCTGGCCTCATGGGAACCGTCCAGCTCCTGCGTGTGTGGAGCTTTCCGTGGAAAGCCAGATCACAGGATGGAGTTGACTAGTTATGACTAGAGTATGGGGAATTTTCCCATCCTCTCTTCCTTGGAACTCAGAATGATAAATTCTTAGATGGTAAGAGGTTACTTATTTCCACCCCTATCTGATACTTGAGTCTCTTCATCTGTTTCCACTTGATTCCCATCAGGGATGACATGCTCACTGCCTGCAAGGCAGCATGTTCTTCCTCGCACAACCCTGTTACAGACTTCATCCTTTCTGCCCAGATTGAGCTCGAAGCTCTGAACTCACGATAAGCTCGGAGCACTGCAAAGCTACCATTAAATAGGCTTCAGCCCTCTCACCGGAGCAGGGAACCAACAAGGCCCAATGGAAATCAGGCAGCAGAGCAAACAGCGCCCGCTCCTTGCTGGCTCTGCTCCCTCAGCGAGGTTTCCAGAGAGCTGTGTGTCCGGGAGGATGGGGTGCTTGCTGGCGCCCGGATTCCATCCTTCTTCATGTGCTCGCTCCGAACAGGGCTCACGACCTCAGAGGCTTGGAAAACAGGTGCAGATGGTCATATTCAAGAGAAAGGTGGAAGAAGGGGCTCGCAGTTGTTCTGTGGAGGGTCACTAGGCAGCTACGTGTCCGCAGTCCCTCATCCACAGCTCCAAAGAGCTCTGAAAACAGGAAGGTTTTTGCATTTCATCTGGCAGAAAAATCTGACCAGAACTGATAGGAGGCTATTTCTGGTCTCTGTTTGCCTTGCTTTGAATGAACATTCAAATGTTTCACTGAATAAATATTAATCTGTTTGATATAGGATGCGGCCCCAGACCCACTGAGGGTGTTATATAATTATAGTATATACATGTATTATCTTTCTGAAACTCAAGAATTCTGGATTCCAAGATACATCTGGATCCAAGGATTTTGATTAAAGAACAACTGCAGACCTGTACTTTTATCATCCTATTTTGTTTTTGGGCAGTGAAGAAAAAAACCCCAAGGCTCAGAGAAGTTACGCGATTTATTCCAGTTATCACACAGCCCCTCAGTGGTAGAGTCAGGACGTGGAGCCGGGAGGCAAATCCTGTCCTCCAAGTCTTGGTCCTCTGCACTCCCCCTTCGCCCACCATGCAGCCCTCACCCTTCCACAGACTGAGCTGGCGAGCACGGAGGGTGGAGCTGGGCCTGCGGGGTGTGGATCAGGAAAGCTGAATTGGGAGCGAGCTTTGCAAAGCCTCCTGATCTGCAGCCACAGAGGTAGTGTCCTCACTCAGCTACCCACATCCCCACAGGGCATCGGCCTCCAGGGCTCAATGCCATTAGCATTGTCGTAATGAAGCAGGAAATCTATTAATGGCAGTGACAAATAGAATATGATGAACCTTGGCCAAGGGTCCCCGCCATGCTTGCAGCACAGCCTCTGCCTAATGAAGTGATGGACAGTTGTCCTGTGGCACCATGCTGGCAGCCCGGGCAGCTGGAGTATTAGTTCACTGGGGTAAAGGAGAATTCCTATTGGAGTGACAGCTGCCCCAGGCCCCACGGAATGCCAGTGTCCTGGGAAAGCATGCTGCTGGGAACCTTGCCATTTACTAAAGACATGACTGGGAAGAGGCCTGCCCTTCATACCCTCTCTAGCCTCGGTGTCCCTGCGTGTGACGTGGGAAGGATGTTGTCCCCTCTGGCCCCGTGTCTTTCCCTGCATCACAGGGCTGGTGTGGCAAGGAAATGAGCGTGTACACACCTGGGGGCGATTTGAGAACATGCAAAGCACCAAGGTGGGCACAGTTCTGTCGTTTTACAATTGTTGTAGCTCACCTGGGGGATGGTTTCATTAGCAGGTTGCCTAAGGAGACAAACCAACCACGTACCGAGTGGGGAGGGGGTTGAGGAACTGGGGGGGAATGTGAGAGGAATGAGGGGTGTGGGTGGATACAGACAGACCATCCCCCCAACTCCCCATGTGCCCCTAGCTCCCCAGTGCTCTCCTTTTATTCCCTGTGTTTGTGGCTCTAGGAGAACAATCTGATCTTCTACGAATGCAGTGCCTATTCCGGCCACAACACCAGAGAGTCCCTGCTCCATCTGGCCAGGTAAAGAGACCCCCTCGGCCAGTGACGGGCCCCTGCCGTGCCGGGCCTGGTGGGAGCACTGCATTCACCTACCCCGCCAGACCTCTGGGCCCATCCTTCTGTCTGCCTGAGCCTTCTGGGGAAAGGGCTGGAGACCCAGGCCTTTGTGTGGGCTCCCAGGGGTCAGGGACAGCCCCCTGAACCACAATAAGGGCGAAAAAAGAAGCCTCCGTGCCTGTCGCCCCTGCTGAAGTCTTCTTCCTCTGAGTCTGAAAGGCCGCCTTTTTCCCAGGGATCCTCTTTTTAAATGCAAATGCTTCTGGGAAAGGTCGTGTCAGAGGCCCCTCAACACTGCCTACCGTCTTAGGGATTTGTTGGCAGCCAGCTGGGAGCAGGAACTTTCTGATTTGGGCTCCTGGAGAAGGGGGAGGAAGAGCCAGGGAGAGGAGGGCTGTGAGTGGGACCAGGCACCCAAGGTGATGGCGCTCCAGGGACTGGTCCCACAGAAATACTGGTTCCCTAAGGCTGTGTCTACACCGAAATGAAGGAAACAAAACCACGCAGGCCCCGCTTTCAATGCCGCGCATTCACTCATTCATTCATCTAGGCATTCATTTCATTCCATCCATCCATTCACCCACCCATCCATTCATCCATGCACCCATCCATCTATCCACCCAGCCAGCCAGCCAGCAAGTACTTAACAGTGTTCATTTTGTGCTCGGCGTTCATTCTGGGGCATCTAAAAAATATTTTTATTTGAGTAACTGAGAACCCAGAACAACTCCTTCTGTGCATTGGAGAAGTTATGGAAGATCATGGGGAAAGTTCTAGGCTTTTCTCTGCCACTGATTCCCAGGGCAAGTCACCCTACCTCTGAGCTTTGCCCCTAACGTGGGAACATCAACCATACCGTTTCTGCCCACTCACAGGTGGCTGTGAGAATCCGAAGAGACACCTCAGGTGAACGTTCTCTGAGAGCGTGAAGCAGGGCTAAGGCGCCCAACCACTGTTGTTAATCCTTTGCCTCCACGTGCAGCCTGGAGCTGTGGCCACATGGGACAGCCCTTTCGGAGAGTTGATAACCAATAAATATACCTTTTGAGCCTCTGCTCTGTGATAGGCTACAGAGACTAAAGATATGGTCTCAGCCCTCAGCTGAGGGAACCTGCTAAGGAAGCAGTGCATTATGACACCAGGTGACAAGGTTATAACAGAATAAGGGTCAGAGTGCTATCAGGGGCACTTACACCACCTGGAGGATCAGGGCAGGCTTCCTGGAGGAGGTGTCGTGGAGAATCCATAATGACTCAACTCTGGCTTTACACATTATAGCTGTGCACCTGTACTCTCTAGAGGGAGACTTGGAATACTCTCTGTGATGCTCTGATGAGGCAGGCTTTCCTTCTTATTACCCAGTAGCCTGTAACCTGAGGGCCTAGTAGCTTCTCCACTACTGACACTATATCTTCTCCCCTCCCAGGATCCTCAAGGAGCAAGAAGACACAGTGAGGGAGGACGCCATGCAGGTTGACCGCCCTGCCAAGAAGAAACCCTGCTGTGGCTGATAGGAAGCCTTGTAAGACTGCTCTGCCTGGGCCTGAGGCCACAGGACCTGCCTGAATCCTGCACACAGGCTCCTGCGCAGACGCCCTCGCCAAGGCCAGCCCAGACCTTTGTCCTTGTCAGTGACTTGCCTCCCCCCGGAGGAGTGGAAGTACACCCAGTCAGGAGAGCTGCTCTCAGAGCACCTCAAAGTCTTTTCTCTCCCTCCTTTCTCTAGACCGCAGATGCCCATTCCTTTTTTTTCCCCAGCTTGGTGTCCTGGGGGGAAAGAATCAGATAGTCTTTTCCAGAAAAGCCACCAGTGCCTTTTCCACCTCCCTTCTCCCCCCTTGCCCTCAGGAGCTTCAGCTCTGCAGTTGTCATGGCAACTGTACAGGGCCCACTTGCTGCTTCCTGTAGGCCAAAGATAGAGTGCTTGGGCCGTACCAGGGTGGTTGGTCTTCCTTTGGCTCCCATTCTCTGGATGCCAATGGGATACCCTTGGCATATGCCTCATGGACCTTGTGATGCCTGCATGGTGTTGAGAGAAGCAAACCAGGGCACCCACACCCTCTGCCACCATCCCCAGCCCAGGGCTCTGCTCCTCTCCAGGCTTCAGGGCCAGCATTTCTCAGCAGCCACCCTACCCACTGTATTTGCCCCCTCCGGTTATCTGGAATGGTCCCTTACAAAGAACCCACAGTCTCTCCTCTCTGCCACCATGCACACCCGTGACTCCAAGGTGGACTGTCGGGGTGAGGAATTTATGCCTGGGGTTAGAGAGTGGGCTTACTTCCTACTTAACTTTGACTAAGAGATGAAAAGAAAACAAGGGGAGAAAACCCATCTGCTGCTAAGCCGTGCTACCATTTCTGGAGGGTATAAATAAGGTATATATAGCTATGTAAAAGCCATTTTCTAAATGCTTCTCAAAATAGCTCTTCGAAAACTGGTACATGATGATTAACAGGGTAGGTTGACATGCAGGCAGTGAGGCCCAAGACCAGGTCTGTAGTTACTGACTTCATTTTATTTTATTTTACCTTTTTCCAGAAGACTGTATTTAAAAAAAAGAAGCGTGGCTGTGATGTTGACATTTTGCTGGTGTTTGAGAAGTGAACAGAGTGTGGCTGCACCAGCACAGGGCCCTGGGTTAAGGGGAAGGACCTGGGCCCATGTGTGGTTCCTTCCTCTTGGTGGTGGCAGCGGCCAGCCCCTGGCAGGGCTGCAGCATCGCTGGCTGCTGCTGGGGATCTGGCGAGGCACTCTTGCCCGCTGTGGGCGCTCGGATGAAAAGATCATTAAGATCACTGCCAATTACCGTTCTAGCGCCACAGACCCAAGCCCAACAGGGAAGCAAGCGGTGTCCACACCCAAGGTGGGCACGCAGGAAGAGAGGGGCAGAAAGTGTCCACAGGCCTCTGAGAAGGTGATTACGACAACTACACACAGCCAGCCAGGCAGGAGAGGAGTCCCTGGCCAGAGGTGTTCCCGGCGGCCTCCCCTCTAGACTCCCAAAAGGGTCGGAGCCCCCTGGGTTACCAGGCAAGTGTCTGCCTCCTTTTTGCAGACTTCTCTCTCTCATCCAGCCTTCATAGGGCACCCATGGTGGGTGCTAAACAGACACCAGCACTGAGCTCCATGATCTTGGACAAGCCAGCTTGCTCCCTGGGCCCCACTCTATCGGTACAGTGAAGGGTGGGCTGTCTGATGCTTCCAGCTCTTCCTGCTTAAAGCGCTGTTGATGACACGTTCATTTCCCACTTAACCTGGCCCCGGCCCCAGTCCAAGTTTGAGGGGAACTCCTTTCCCTAAGAGAGGGCACTGGCGATGGTCTCATTAGTGGGATGGGTCACCCAGAAGTGGCCTTCCGATATCTGTTTCTGACAAGAAACAGAGATGACAATAGATTTATGAGACAAGCAGGCTGTATCAGGGATTCCCCAAGCCCACAGATGCCTTTGTCCCCAGTACCTCGTCCCTGGCTTGGGGCTGCATCTTTCCATTTAGGAAAAGTGCATTCAGGGTTTCAAGCAGGGCGGGATGAGCCTAGTGCCTGGCCTTCCAGCTTGCGGCGTAAATCCCCACGAATCCTCAAAGATCCAGGCAGAGAAAGGGGGCAGGAGGGGCCTCTGCTGCTCCCTTCTGCAGTCCCCCCTTGAAAGCATCCAGAGGATGGGGGCTTCAGAGAGACTCTGAGGAGCTCTGTGACCCCGGGTCCAAGACCCCTCCTCTCCCCCTTCCTCTCAAGCCACCATGGTGATCAGAGCCAGCTCCGTGGCTGTCAGCATGGCCCAGAGCCTAGCAGAGTGCTGTCAGAAAATCCTGGCTGCAGCCCATTTACATTGCTGTGACGATCCCGAGCAAGTCACTTAAGCAGGTTTCATATTCGTCTGTAGACTGGAAGTTCCAACGTCCACCTCACAGGGACGTTGTAAGTATTAAGTGAGATAATGTATGTGAAGTACTTAGCATGGTGCCCAGCACATAGTAGGTACTAACAAGTAGGGGCTATTTTCGTTGTCAACATCCAGTTGCTGCCCAGACCGCCTGCCTTGCTTCAGTGTTCGATTTAGAACCAGCAAGCACTTCCTAAGCGCCTGCCCATTACTGGGCATGCTCACAAACACTACCTCTTTCGAGGCCCAATTGCCCAGCCCATTTGCCTGCTCATGAGCTTGTATCTGGCTTTGCCTCTTGGCCCTGCTCTCCTCTGTTCCTGGGGGGTTCCTGGTTTTCCAGTCAGTGCTCCTGTCCTACCAGTGCCTGTGGTCTCTTCCAGCCCACAGTCCACTCTTCCCCCCTGCCCGTGGTTCTCCAGGACTCAGACAGCAGCGCAGACCTGGTGCCAGCTCCTGGCTGTTGACCTGTGTGATCTGTGCTCACCGCCATCCCTGGCCCCCACACTTGTGCTGACTCCCTGTGCTTCTTCTGGGGTCTGCTGCTGCCCTCAGCCCTGAGTTGCCAAACCAATGCCGCGGTTGCTTGGCTCCTTGTCCAGCATTCACAGCCCTTCACGGTCTCTCTGGGTCTCTGCTGTCCCTTGTGATACCCTAGCTTTCTTCCACCTCTCCCCAGCCTGTGCTCTTTCCCTATTCTTAGTACCTCCACCCAATCTCAGACTCCCCTCCTCCCTACTCTCCCCCGGCCCACTCCAGGCCATACCTCTATACTCCATCAAAAATGGCTCAACCCTTTGTCTCTGTCACTAGTAGTCACTACTCCAAAGGATCTGAAACCAATTTCAGCTAAGGTGTTGATGCAAATGCTGGCTTCAGGGCTATATTTGCACTTTAACAAAAAACTCTAAGGGAGGCAGAACTGTAACCCAAAGGAATGAATCCCTACTGGTAGAATATTGAGCACCATAATGGATCATGGGGATCAAATATTTAGGATGGAGCTGCCTTCCCCTGTACTCCTCTTAAAGACCTGTTTGCTCATGTATTTAGGGGCTCTATTTCTAGATTCACATATGTTTGTAATTGTTACGACTTCTTGATAAATTGGACCTTTATCATTGTAAAGCGTCCTTCTTTGTCTTTAGTAGTGATTTTTGTCTTAAAGTCTATTTTGTCTAATATTCATATAGCCACTTCGTCTGTCTTTTGGTTGCTCTTTGCATGGTATATCTTTTCCATACTTTTACTTTCAACTTATTTGTGCATTTGAATATTGTGAGTCTGTTATGGACAGCATACGGTTGGATTATGTTTTTAAATCTATTCTTCCAATCTCTGTCCTTTAATTGGAAAGCAATGTAATGGACAAAGTAAGATTTATGTCTGCCATCTTGCTATTTCTTTTCCATATTTCATGTCTTTTTCATTCCTTTATTCCTCTATTACTTCCTTTTTTGTGTTAAATAGATATTTTCTAGTGTACTATTTGAATTATCTTGTTATTTCATTTACTATTTTTTTTAACTTATTTTCTTGGTAGTTGGTCTGGGAGTTACCATTAATATCTGTTTATAACAATCTAGTTTGGATTAATACCAACTTAATGTCAACAGTACAAAAAACTTTGCCTCCTCCCTTATTCTTATTTTGTCACAAATTACATCTTCATACGTTTTGTTTCAATCAGTAGATTTACAGTTATTGTTTCATGCAGCTGTCTTTTAAATCAGATTTTTTTTAAAAAGGAGTTACAAATGAAAAATACATTTACATCATCTTCTATGTTTAATCATGTAATTACTTTTACCAAGGCCCTTTATCTCTTCATGTTGATTCAAGTTACTGTCTAGCGTCCTCTCATTTCAGTAGTATTTCTTATAGGGCAGTTCTGTTAGAGACAAACTCTCTCTGTTTTGTTTATCGGGAAAAGTCTTAATTTGTCTTTCAGTTTTGAAAGATAGTTTTGCTAGACATGGGACTTTTGATTGATAGATTTTTCCCCCCATTAGTGCTTTGAATATACCATCCCACTTTTTCTGGCCTCTATGGTTTCTGATGAGAAATCAGCTGTTAATCTTATTGAGGGTCCTTTGTATGTGATGAGTTTCTTCTCTCTTGCTGCTTTCAAAATTCTTTATCTTTGGCATTCAGCAGTTTGATCTTGATGCGTCTAGCTATAGATCTCTTTGATTGTATCTGCTTGGAGTTCATTGAGCTTCTTGGATGTGTAGATTAATGGCTTTCATCAAATTTGGGACATTTTTGGTCATTATTCCTTTAAATATTCTTTCTGCCCCTTTCTCCCTCTTTTTTCCTTCTAGGACTCCTGTTGTGCATATGTTGGCATGCTTGATAGTATCCCACAGGTTTCCAAGGCTCTGTTCATTTTTCTTCATTTTTTTTTCCTTGTGGTCCTCAAACTGGATGATCTTTATTTCCCTATCTTCAAGTTCATTGATTCTTTCCTCTGCCTGCTGAAATATACTGCTAAGAACATCTAGTGAATTTTTCATTTCCATTATTGTACTTTTCAACTCCAGAATTTCTGTTTGGTTCCTTTCTATAATTTCTGTCTCCTTATTGATATTCTCTGTTTGGTGAGATATTGTTCTCATTCTTCCCATTAGTTCTTTAGACATGGTTTCCTTTAGGTCTTTGAACATATTTAAAATAGCTGATTTAAAGTTTCAAAGAGCTCACCTTGGTAGCCATCTGCCCTGTGCACAAATCAAGCTCCACTTGCCATCCTTGCTTCCTTCCTTACATTCCACACAACACACTCAGGACTCTGGTCTCATTCCTTAGCCCCACTTCTAACCTCCTCAAAGTCTTTCCTGTCTTCTGGATTAGAGGGGACGTGAAACTCAGAAGTCCTTCAGATATGAGAACCCTCCCCTCCACCTTGAGCTTCTGGATGCCCTGCAGGAGATGAGCTGGCTAAGGAGGTTTTCAGTTCCTTGGGGAATTGAAGGGAGGCCAGAAATCCTCAGGCAGCATGGCCCGTCCTGCTAGGAATCCAGACATTTCACAAAGCTTCACTCAAAAGGGATAGGTGGGGGAAGACTGCAAATCAGAAGCTTTTGGAAAAAATAGTTTACTTCAAAATAATGGAATCACAGTTCATAAACCTACAAAAACCAAGACTTAAGTGGCCCATTGCTGACTGGCCCTAGGAGTAGTGACAGCTCTCTCTCTATCATCCAGGATATAGAAATTGGCTACACAAATTTCAACCAAGTCCCTGGGGTTTTACTTTATTGATTATTCCCTCCCTTCTTATCCTGGGGGGGGAGGTGCGTCAGGGTGAGGGGTGGGGATGATTGGTGGTTTGCTGGATACAGGAGCTTTATAAACCTCCCACACATCCTAACTCTATTAATGTTTCTATTAATAGACATGTTCATTATCAGCCATAGCAGTAACAAAGAACATCATAACTCCACTTTCACACAATTCAGTGAAGCCAATTTAATCGAAGTGTCCTACTTAGGAAAAGCCTTGCTGGAAATGATGGGGGTTGGGAAACCATATGGTGCCTGACAGAGGACCTGAAATCAATTTGGAAAGCTAGGGGCATGGGCAAGATTGTGTCGTTTATCATCCTGGGGCAAGACTGAATCAGGTCTAAGAACTGACCCTCTCTCAGGGCTGGACCTTTATCAAGCTTTGGCTCTGATCCAGAAGTGGTACTTGTAGGCCCTTCTTCTAGCACCAGGAGACTCGTCTCCCAACAAATGAGGACTCCTAGGACCACAGAGGTCTGTGCTATCATAATGAATTATGACTGGATCCATCTGACCTATAAAAATAAGTACTACACATAAAAACATTGCACTACTAAGCAAAAATGCCCAAAGAACATGGACAGAGAGAATGGGATTTTTTTTTAACTTGGAAACAGGAATTGAAATGTGGAGCTCAAGGGGCCTAAGAATGAATTTGGGTAATGTGACTGTGGAACTGGGATTCATTGAGCGTGTGTAGCCTGAGGTCAAGGGGAGAGTGTCAGGGTGTGAGCCGACAGCCAGTCTGTGGGCTCCCTCGGCTATTCTGTAATGCTAGTGTGTGGTGCTTATTCATACACACTGCCCACAGGGCTCTAGTGAGTGAAACACACTGGACTGAGCTCCTGAGGGCAGGAGAATTCATCTCTGCTGCCTCACGCTTGGCGCAGTGTGTGGCAAACGGTGTTTGCCTTTGAGAGCAGAACATCATTTCTTGAGAACAAGACCAATCACTTAGTGAGGCCCTCACTAGAGCCCTGGGTCCCAGGGGCTGGATGACTGGGCCCCTGTGGCCTGGTTGACCCGTGGGGTTTGCCTCATGGTGCTGCTTCTGGCTTTTAAAACAAGGTGCAGAGGAACATTCCAGCTGCTGCCAATCAGTTGCCTTTCAGACAATGTGAGGCCCATCAAAGCATTCCATCTCGTCACCCTGCAGCCTCCCCAGCTGCCACTGGTGGCAATCCATTACCTGCAGGCAGCTCAACAGCTCAATTTGGCTTGGGCTCCACGCCTCTGTGCATAAAAAGATGCTTCTCTGCCCGGTTCTCCCCCTTCCCGGTGTGGGACTAGCCGTCTTTACCCAGGCTATGCCTCTCCCACATGCTTTCTCTAACCCCTAAAGATCTGCTCAGAATAAGAACCTGCACACAAGTTGTGTGGCCTTGGGCAAAACCTGGGACTGCTTGATGCTCTGAGCCATAGCTTCTGAATCTGTAAAGTCATGCTGTCTGCCCTATCGCCCTCACAGGGTAGTGCGAAGGGCAAATGGGAACACTGGGGAAAGGATGGCTCTAGGCAGATGTGAGTTATGATGTCTGTCTCCCATGCAAGAGACCAAAACAGAACAAAATAGGAAAGAAAGAGAAAACCCCACACTTCCTGGTAACTGGGCCCTCAGGTAAGAGCGTCTCCCATTTCCCTGGGAATTCTTATAGTAGAATAAGGAGAATTTGCCTTCCTTCAGGCTGGAGACTTTTGTCTAAGAACCCTTTATATCTTCCCACTCTGCTTTGAAGGTGGACCGGGCGCCCAGCATCGCACACTACAAGGTTCTCCCTGGCAGCGTTCTGATCTCATTCATGTTATTATTTACTGGGGCCTGGTACGTAATAGACACTAGGCGGGTAGATGGGGGAACTTGTTGCTCCTTCAAGACTTTAAATAGTGCATTCCTACTTGAGCCACCTTTACATAAATGATTTATAAAACACTTTCGCTTTGGTTTGATGAAAAAGTTCTGGAGTTGGTGGGTGGTGATGGTTGCATACAATATTGTGAATGTACTTAGTGCCACTGAATTGTACACTTAAAAGTTGTTAAAATTGTAAATTTTTTATGTATATTTTACCACAATACATGTTTTTAACAACCTCTTTCACAACCGTGCATGTTCCACGAATGAATGAAGGATTGGTTCTTTTCAATGCCCGATAACTGACGATCTAAGACACTCACGTTTATCTCAGGTTAGATCCAGAGGTGAGGGAGCCGGAAGGAAGAAAGCTTACTTAAGGCCCTTGGAGCTTCAGTGTCCTTGGGGGAGGGAACACCTGGAAACCCACACATATACATTAACATGCCATGAAAATGCCGTTGCAGCAGCCCCCCCAGGCCTCCCTTCCTCAAGGGCCTCAAACCAACCCCTCCCCACCCCCACTCTGCAGGGGCCGGCCCTCAGTGCCCCTGGCATTTCTGCCCCTGCCCACGCACACGCTTCTCTTGATGAGTTTCCCTCCAGCCCCTGTAGACAAGCTCCTGGGGGCGGGCCCTCCATGTCCTGTATGCCAACAGGAGCACCCAGCCTGGCCCCAGAGTGGGGACTCAGTACAAGTGTGTTGAATGACAACAAACAATGAATAGCAAAAGTCTTTTGTTGTTCCTGGAATTTTGTTGCTTTGACTACAGGAGGAAATACATTAATTCAGCACCCAGAAGTATTTTGGTTTTGCAGAGGTTTACATCATAATAATTTATGGTAAAGAGGCTAGGAACTAGCACAGACGGATCGGTGTGAGAGAGACATCTGAATGCCGTGTTCACCGGTGAAGAGCTGACTGGCGTTAGGCTTGTTCTGAGTGACTCAAGAGGGCCAGGGTAGAACCAGTAAACACAGAGCATCAAGATGGCCATATATCCCAAGAAAGTTTAAGCTGCCTCCCTAGGTAGTGAGCTCTCCGACACTAGAGGAGTTCAAGCAGATGTTGAACACTCTGCTCTTAGAAATGCCGCTGAGAAACTGTGTACGATGTGTACAAGTGCCTCCACCCCACCAACCATGAGAGTCTAAGATTCTTTTGAACAGAGATTGAAGTGAAGGGATGTAGTTTAAGCTCTGAGGGGGAGGATGGGATAAGCCAGGAAGCTTTCCTGGACCAGGAGAACGCTGGGCTAGTTCGTTTCTCTAGCTCCAGTTCTCACTAACACTGCTCCACTTTCTCTCCTGCTCTGCTTCTTCCCCCGCTTCTCTCTCTGTTTCTTTATCTTTCCAATTCTCATTCCTCCATCCCCCCTCAACGTGCTCCTACAGTCAGGGAGTGGAAAACACCTGGCCTAAAAGTCTGCCAGCGAGATTCATACTTCAACAGCTTCCCTGGCGTGGGGAGAGGTGCTGAATCCTTGCCAGCGTCCTGCCAGCTCTTCTATTGTGGCAAGTGAAATTACCAGCTTCACACTGCGGGTCTATTTAAATCAGCCTTTCATGTCTGATGGATTTAAAAATATGCTAGAAGTCAGCATCTTAAATACAAGAGACACAAACAAGCAGATGAGGCTGCATTTTCCTTCTTCTGTACCTACCCGCCCTCTTTCCCTTCCTCCCCTCTCTCTCTCCTGCCCCCTCCCAAAGCAGTTTTCATTCATGAGGGCCATCTCCCCTCCTCTCTCCATCCCTCTCTTCTCTCAATGGCAGGAAAGTCTGCCTCCTGAGCAGTGGCTGGGAGCCCCTGGGGTCTAGGTTCCCTCCTCAACTCTGTAGGAGACGGTAAGACCACCTAGTGAGAATGCCTAGCACCCTCACTGCCAGCTCCCTCCCTCCCTGGCCAAGGGGTCTTCTGCATTGACTCTTCTGTGCACATGCAGTGCCAAACTGAACCTCAGAACCATGCTTACCCGGCTCCCTCCTTTCACAGATGAGGAGACTGGCCCAGGCAGGAGGAGGGGCTTGCTGACGGTCCAAGGTCAGTGAGTGGCTATGCCAGCTCCTGGCCCACTGCCCTGAACGTCCAAGGCCGGCCTTCCCAAGCCTGTGTGCTCAGTTTTCCCAGGAGGCCGTTTGCTGGGCCAGAGCCCCACAGCTCCCCATGGTCCTCCTGTGAGCTTCTCACGGCTCCTGACACAGCAGGGGCTCCCAGTCTGTCCTGGATATTCACCGGGAATCCCTTCTGGGGCCTTGGCCCACTTGGGTTGATCTAACCCATTTTTCTCCTGACTGAAGTCATATTCCCTCTGACCCTGAGCGGCATCTCTTTGATGAGTGGGCCCTGCAGCGTGTCCTACATCTGTGGGCAGGTGGCAAGCTGCTAGGATTGCGATCAGGAGAGGTGCCCCTCTTGAAAAGGCCCTGCCCTCGCCCCTGCCCACCAGCCCTGGGGTGGTTCCTGCTTGTGCTTCTCACCCTGGGGGGCCCATTTGAATCACCTGGGGACGTTTTCTTTCTTTTTACTAATTTATTTTTGTTTGTTCTACTTTTAATTGTTTTGTTTTGTTATTTTTTTAAAAGATAATACGAATCCTTGTCCCATCTCCCTCCAGAAGTTCTGATTTAATTAGAAGTTTAAAGAGCTTTTAAAAAATTGTTTAATATGACAATTATTAGCAGCAACAAGAATGGAATGGAATAATAGAAAGTGAAAAATCTTCTGCTCATGTGTGAACATTTTCTTGATCTCAGATGTGCTCTTGTATGCCGCTGTGTCTTGGCCCATGCTATTCCCTCTGTCTTGATTCTTTATGAGAATTTCACTGGCTTGCTGTGGCCATGCGGCAGGTCATTAGGAAAGCAGATGATCTAACTGGGTCTGAGGCCTCCCTGGCACTGCACACCCTCTCAACTGCTGGTCTGAGATAGTGGCCGACGTCTGATTCCCTACTCTCAGGAGGGAGCGCTGGGGCTCAGGGAGTATACTGAATCATTGTGTGTCTGTGGGTATACAATACACACACACACACACAGATGAAACCACACACTCTACCCATTGCAATTTCATCCCTGACTCCTTCGCCTACAGTCCTACCATGGATGACCTGAGATGCTTTCCACGAAAGTTGAATATGTGCCATCATGCTAAGCAAGATGCTATGCCCTTGGAACATAAAAAAGATCAAGAAAAAAAATCAAGGAGCTCAAAGTCAGTGAAGGAGCTGTCCTAGCAATCGGCTACACAATGAGATAGAGATTACAGAATGCTCTGGGAAAAGAGAAGCTGGCAGGATAAGTTGCCTCTGGGTTGGGAGGCAGAAGATGGGTATTGTATTTTATTTTTTTTGCTGGGAAAGATTCACTCTGAGCTGACATCTGTTGCCTATCTTCCCTTTTTTTTCCTTCCCCAAAGCCCCAGTGCATAGTTGTATATTTTAGTTGTAAGTCCTTCTGGTTCTTCTATGTGAGCTGCCACCACAGCATGGCTGCCAAGAGAGGAGCCCCCCGTTTGTGGTTCTGTGCCTGGGAAACAAAGCCAGGCCACTGCAGCAGAGCACGCCAAACTTCAACCACTAGGCCATCAGGACTGGCTCAGAGGGTGGGTATTTTAACAAAGGATTTAACGATTGGTCCATAACTGAAAGATGGAGGGGCAGCCCTCAGGCAAAGCTGGAAAGGGGAAGCCATCGGCAATGTCGAACGGGAAGAAGGGGAGCAGGAGAGTGAAGCCGGTTTGGGGGACCCACCAGAGCTGGGTACAGGGCTTGTGTGGCTAGGGCAGAGTGGGGGATGAGGATTCTGGGACGGAGGATGGGGCAGGGCTGGAGAGCAAATCAGTGAGTGGAAGCAGAAGAGGCCAGAACGTGAGAGCCTCGCCTGGACCAGGAGTTTAAATGTCATCCTTTAGGTGACAAGGGACCATCGGAGGTCTTAACAGCAAGTGACAGGTCAGATCTGCAACTATGCTGAAGAGAGTGGAGTGGACGGATGGGGCAAGACTGACGGCCAGACATAAATTAGCGTCTACTGCTAGTCCCCAAACACAGACAGAGAGGGGCCCAGGGCACGGTGAGGACGGAGAAGGCAGAAAGAACCTCATAGCCAGCCAAGCTAAGCTCTCCACGTGGCCCATGTCTGTCGAGGAGCCAGGCCACATTTTAAATCTCGGCCTTCCCTCTCTGCCTTCCCACAGTCCAGTGTATTTCCAGGTTACCTAAGACTTCCCCATCCTATACCTTAAGTCGTTAGATCTCAAATGCTGAATTTTTCCCAATGAAATCCAGAGAGCCTTAGGAAAGGGGATTTCTCTGAATGAGTTGGGGGCTAACAGATTGTACTCTGCAAACCTCAAGTCAAATAAAATAAAATTTGGTATCATCCACGACTTTGAATGCTCCGGGCCGCAGTTTCCTCCGTGCACGTGAATAATGAAAGCTAGCTCAGTGTGTGGACTGGGAGAGAATCGCAGAAAACCCACAAGTATACAGCACCTGAGAGTTTACAAGTCGCTTCCGTGGCACCCTCTGTGGATCGTTTTCTCTCTGTGGAGATGGAGACTCAGTGAGTGTGAGGACTTCCTCCAGAGCACAGCTAGCGAGCTGCCAAGACAGGACTCCCCGGGCCCCAGGACCTGTAAGTTCGGGCCAGAGTCACTGCCTTTCGACCTGATCACATGGTTTGCCCTCAGCTTCCCTCTGTTAGTCATCCCAGCCAGGCATCCCCTGATCCTGGACACCCGTCCAGCCCTGCTCCCTGCACCCCCCCCCCACCCCGTTCCTCAGAAGCCCCTATCTCCAAGGCCCACCCCTTAGGAACACTTTGGAGAGTGAGAAGTGAAAGGGAATCTAATCAGAGGTAATCAATTGGCAATATTAGCAGAGCCGAATTAACTCCCTGCCTGGATGAGAGTCACCCAGGCCTGGCCCGCCAGCAGGCAGGAACCTTAATTCCATTTCCTCTCAGTTATTAAAATGATTTTCCACAAGATAGTCCCATCTCAGGAGAGTCACAGACTAATAAACTGCAGCCTCGGCCTGGAGAAGCCCGGCGTCCTGGTCTGCCCTCCCACGTCCTCTGGTACACACTGGCAAAGCCTCCGTGACACCTTTCTGCAGTCCTGCCAGGAACCTCATTTCCTCCCCCACCTTTATTTCCCACCGTGACCCCTGACCCCCCAAGAGCCCAGCAGCCTTTCTACTCTCCCCGACTAAAAAGTCTGGAGGCAAGATCTTCTTGGAGAG